CCCCGAAACACAGGAGATGAAGCCTTTCTTAGCCTTGCTTCTAAAGAACGCCGTGGCTGGACTTCGTCTAAGACAGCACCCTGTGCTGGATATTTTGAGGGCAGGCCTGGGCCCCCCCTCCCAGCGTTGTTCCCAGCCCTTGCAGAAGCACTAGGGGAGCTGGGGAGCTCTTGGGTGGTGCAAATGGTTAAGGGCTCAAGGGCCCACCTGGGGCACCTCGGAATAAAGACCTCGTGGTGGGCGTGGGAAGGGCCCCCACTGAGGAAATCCTATGGCCAGGTCTGCTCCGCACACCTGGGGCTGACGTCAGCCCACCAACTGTGGAGCTGGGGCTGTGCCTTCTGGGGAAGGGGGCCCCTAGAGATGGGGGCTCTGAAGCCAGCACCCCCACACACCTGTCTTTCTCTGCCTGCAGTCTGGTGAGGTCTTCTGCCGCCAGTGTGACCCCATCAGGGCTTCAGTCCCTGCTCTCCTGAGACCCCTTTCCCTGACGAGGAAGAGTATCGCCGAGCCCCTCCCCCACCCCCAGAGGTTAACCACTTGCCCAGGACAGGGCTGGAGGTGGGTGGGGGGCTCTGCATGTCCGGGGGGCCAAGGATGACCATTTCCGGTGAGGCTGCAGAGTATGGACGCGAACCCTTAGGTGCAGGTTAGTAGCCTGTGTCCGTTCTGCTTGGACGGGGTGACAGGCCCGCAGGGTCTCAGAGAGTGTCCCGGCTCTCAGTGGGCAGCACCTGTGGACCACTCTGAGGACCCCCTTGGCTCCCCTCTCCAGCCGCTCAAGAGAAGCAAGTTTAGTCAGGCCAGGAGAACGGAGGACAAGTCCCTTGAAAGTCCCCTACGTAGAAAACCTCAGGTCGATGAGGGACTTCCCCGGCGGGCTGGCTCCTCCCTGGCCGGCTGGCTCCTCCCTGGCCACCGGCAGAGCTACACTGCAGTCAGGTGTCCCTGAGGCCAGGCTCTCTGCCCCTGTGGCCTAACTTTGCCTCCAGGGCCCAGAATACAAAGTCCTGATGGCTCCCCCCTTAGAGCCCCAACCGTGAACAAGCCAAGGGAGGGAAGGAAGTCGCTTGTCCTTGCAGGTGGACGTGGTGAAGAGGGCTGCTCACCCTGAAAGGGTCCCTGCGGGGGCCGCTCCTGGACAAGCAGGTCCAGCCGGGACGCTCCAGAGGGCTTTCTGGGTCCTGGGCCGGGGCTGGACGGTGATTCTGCCTTTTCCAGAAAGCCATTGATCTGGTGACGAAAGCTACAGAAGAGGATAAAGCCAAGAACTACGAGGAGGCGCTGCGGCTCTACCAGCATGCTGTGGAGTATTTCCTGCACGCCATCAAGTGTGAGTCCCGACCGCCCTGCCCGCAGCTCCCCAGGACAGGAGGCGCTGCCCGCTCCCGGCTCACAGCTCCTCTCTGGTCCCCTACTGCAGATGAGGCGCACAGCGACAAGGCCAAGGAGAGCATCCGCGCCAAGTGCATGCAGTACTTAGACCGCGCCGAGAAGCTGAAGGACTACCTGCGCAACAAGGAGAAGCACGGCAAGAAGCCTGTCAAGGAGAGCCAGAGCGAGGGCAAGGGGTGAGTGGCAGCGCCCCACGCGAGCGCCCCCTCCCAGAGCACCCTCTGATCTGGGCCAGAAGGTGGGGGGAGGGAGCGTTGGGAGCCCGGTCTGGCCACTTCAGACTGCGTCATCTGTGACCTTGGATGGGTGCCGTGATGCCCATGGGTGGTTCAGACGGACGGGATTGGAAATCCCCGGTGATGCTGTTGTGAGGAGCCAGGGAAGCAATCTGGGCGCTTAGAGCTGGCAAATCGAACCCACCACCGCTGCCACCAAACCCGCCGCCGCCGGCGAGCTGATCCTGACCCCGAGTGATGCGGCTGGACGGATCGGAACTGCCCCATCGAGCCTTGGGACAGTCGTTTGTGCATCGAACCTGCGGACGGCTGGTGGATCTGAACCACCGACCTTTTGGTTGGCTGCTAAGCACTTAGCTATGGCACCGCCGAGGCTCTGTTGCTTGGCACTTTGTGAGCACCAAACAAGTGTGCCCTGTTGTTATTAGAGGGTGTCCTGAACGGAGGGGGCCCTGGCACGGCCACCGACTGGAGCCTGAGAGAGGCTGTCCAGACCCAGGCCACGGCTTCTAATGCCAAGGCCAGTGCTTCCCAGCAGCCCCTCACTCTCCTTAGGTCTGTGGTTCGCCCACCCAGGTGACGCCAGCTGGGACGTAAGTCCCGAGTGGCACAAAGGCCAGTGGAGTCCTGGAGCTGACAGGGTGAAGGGCCATGAGGAGGAGCAAGGTGGGACCGACAGTGTGTCAGGCCCCCCGCCCTCCCTGCTGGAGGGAGAGTGCATTCCTGTTTCATTCCCCAGAGGGGGAGGGGCCGGCGGCCAGGGAGCCCTGCGAGGGGCACTGCCGATGCTGACTTCAGGCTGGACTTGGATGGGCCAGCGGGATCCACGGGTTCCCATGGTCTTTTCCCTCACACGGAATCGTTGGCCTCTCCTCCGCCTTGGAATGTGGCTTTGCAGTCACAGCTTCTCTCTGCCCGAGAGGCCCTATGGAGGGCTAACAATGGTACATACGCACTTGCAAAGCATGGGCCTACCCCACCCACCCCCAGCCTCCTGGAAGGGCCCCCTCTGTGCTCCCCTTCATTAAAACAAGGGGGGGTTATGAGTGTATTTCCTTGGGGGCGAATATGTGGCCTTCCTGTCGTGGTGGTCCCTGCTAGCCAGTCACTGCCCAGCGTCAGCATGGGAAGCGTTCCTTGGCTGCTGTGCCGGCAGCCATAGGCCGGCCTCACTGACAGCTGCCTCGTCACCCCTCGGGGCTCCCGGAGCAGCTGCCTACTCATGTCTCTGTCTCCTTCCCCAGCAGCGACAGCGACAGCGAAGGGGATAATCCAGAGAAAAAGAAATTGCAGGAGCAACTGATGGGTAAGAGGCAGGAGGCCATAGGTGTGGAGGAGGGCGGGGACCTGTTTGGTGGCAGCTGGAGACTGAAGCCGCCTCCGGTTGCAGGTGCGGTGGTGATGGAGAAGCCCAACATTCGGTGGAACGATGTGGCTGGACTGGAGGGGGCCAAGGAGGCCCTCAAAGAAGCTGTCATTTTGCCAATTAAATTCCCACACTTGTTCACAGGTAAGGGCTGGGCTACTTCCGCCCGGGTATAAAAAGACCAGGCTCAAAAAAAACCCCAAAAACTTTACAAACGTATGTACAAATGTGCTCGATACAATTGATGTATGGATTATTATAAGAGCCCCCAATAAAATGATTTATATAAAAAAATGTATAATCTCAGACACCACATATGAGGTCATTATGAGTCAGAATCAAATCAAGGAATGGTTTTGGCTTTTCACAGCAAATACATTTGAATAAATTAAATAAAATTTATAAGTTAAAAAAAAAAAAGACCAGGCTCCTACGGGTGCTATTCTGTGGGTGGCCACACAGCTGTTTGCCCTTAAAGGGTGAGGCTCCAGGCCTGCCAACCGTGTGGGACTAAAACTTTGAATTGACTGTCTCAGTGATTGGGCAGGGACAGGACCAGCCAGTGTCACTTTGGAAAACCATGGGGTCATTATCAAGGACCAAGGCTGAGCTCTTAGTAGGTCACTCAGTTCCCTTTGCCTCTAGAGCCTTCTATCCCTGCCTGTGTGTACAGTGGCCCAGGAGTCTGGGCTCTTTTTCAGCGCCCAGGCCCCTTCAGGAGGATGCTCTCTGGGGTGGACTCTTTGTTGTAGGCAAGCGCACCCCTTGGCGAGGGATACTGCTCTTCGGCCCCCCTGGCACAGGCAAGTCCTACCTGGCCAAAGCTGTGGCAACCGAAGCCAACAACTCCACCTTCTTCTCGGTGTCCTCCTCAGACCTGATGTCTAAGTGGTTGGGAGAGAGTGAGAAGTAAGTCACCGCGGGGCCCTACCTGCTCGGGGCCCAGGGGGTGCGGGTGCTCCAGTGTCTGCCCCTCCATCACCACCCAGAGGAGCTGCTGGTGGAGAATCGGGGACACGGCCATCTTCCTTACTGGAGGGAACCCGGCCTTGCCCATTCCGATTGTCGGAGAGATGGGGGGGGTGGGGACTCCAGACGGGCCGAAAAAGAACTGGAAGTATTGTCAGTTGAGTGCCTCCTGAGGTGTCTTATGCCCCACCCCTCCAACTCCCTTTTTGCCGAAATGAAACTGAGGTTCCGAGGAAGGGCAGGGACTTGGACGGAGTCCAGAGCTAGTGGCTGTGACCACCGAGGTTGACACAACCCGAGGCTGGCTCTTCCTATCACTGGCTGTCAGAGAACCTGTCACCACTGGTTTCTCTCAAATCCATGCCTGACAGTGGTCACCACCGCCTGTGGGAAGGGCAAGAAGAGAGCAGTGGTGCCGGGGACCAGCCCCGGGTGGGCACGTGAGGGCCTAGACCCCCGCTCTCCCCCACACAGGCTGGTGAAGAACCTGTTTGAGCTGGCCAGGCAGCACAAGCCCTCCATCATCTTCATCGACGAGGTGGACTCACTCTGTGGATCCCGGAATGAAAATGAGAGCGAGGCTGCCCGAAGAATCAAAACCGAGTTCTTGGTGCAGATGCAGGGTGAGCAGGGCCGTCCCGGGTCTGCGGGCCAGCCCGCCCAGGGCTTCCTTACCAACCGCCCCTGGGGTGGAGGGGACGTTCCCAGCTCCTCTGCGCAGGCCCCCACACCCCACCCACCCCCACCCCGCACTGGTCTGCATGCTGGGAGGTTGCTGAGGCCTTGGGCCCTGCCTCCCTGCCCCTCCCCACATGGCAGGGCAAGAGGTCCTCCTCCCTGGCAGGCGTGTGCACATTCACGCATACACACACACACACAACCCACCCACCCCATTCCCATCCTACCCCCACCCCACCCACTGCCTAGCCAGCCAGGCGGTGGTTTAATTTCGGGTAGGACCTCCAGAGGGTCTTGCCCAGGGTCCTGACGGGTCTGCTCTTGGTTCCATCCCTGCACAGGGGTGGGGAACAACAACGACGGGACGCTGGTTCTTGGTGCCACAAACATCCCCTGGGTGTTGGACTCGGCCATTCGGAGGAGGTGAGTCTTCACCAGCAGGCACCAGGGCTGCCGTGGTTCTCAGCTCCGGTCCACTGGCCCCAGGCAGCTGCCTGAACTGCTTCCGGGTCTTCTCCGGTCTGCAGGGAGGCCTGGGCTGGCTGCGCATGCTTATCTCAGATACAACCATCTGTGCGCCTGTCCTTCCACTCATCCCATCCCATCCCATCGCCAGCTCTCAATCCTTGCCCTGTGCCCGGCTCTCCAGGTTTGAAAAGCGGATTTACATCCCGCTGCCCGAGGAAGCTGCCCGTGCCCAGATGTTCCGGCTGCATCTGGGGAGCACCCCACACAGCCTCACAGAAGCCAACATCCACGAGCTGGCCCGGAAGACAGAAGGCTACTCAGGCGCGGACATCAGCATCATCGTGCGGGACTCCCTCATGCAGCCCGTTAGGAAAGTGCAGTCGGCAACACACTTCAAAAAGGTGAGCCTGCCCAATACCGGGTGGGAGGCAGACGACCCAGCCCAGGAGAGAAGCCAGTTTTCGTAGCAGCTCCCTGGCCTTGCTGCCTCCCCGTCTCCTAGAGAACTGAGGGCAAGGGCCAAGCCCTCCCCCTCCTTCTCCCCACACATCTTCCTGCCTGGGTGAGCAGCTCAGGGGCAGGACACTAAACTCTGAGACCTCAGGCAGCTCGGAGGACACCTGACAACTGTGTGGAAAGCATTTGCTGTAACACTGCAGGTGGGACGCACCTGTCCACCCTTCAGCCTGGCGAGTCCGCTGGGGCCCCTGTCGTGGGCCCATCCCTTCTGTTCTAGTTGACTGGCCACGAAAGACAAGAGCCCCGCCCTCTAGTAGCCCCCTTTCTGGCGTGCACTGGAGCCAGCGAGCAGGGCAGAAAGACCCTGTAGGAATGGATAGGGTGGGCTCTTGAAGGGCAGGCCATGCCCAGGTGGCATTGGAGGGATGGGCAGGGACAGGAGCCAGGAGGTGAGGTGAAGGGACAGCAAGCAGCCCATGGCGCAGAGTTGGCTGGAAAGCCACGTGGGTGTCCCCGCACCAAACTGAGAGGGTTGTAAAGGGGAGAGGGTATCGAGGTAGCAGAGCTTTTGACCATGTGCTGATAATGAACCACTGAACTCTGACCTCACACCACACTACTTGGTCCCAGTTGGGCTTCTCCCCCACTCAGACCGCCAAGGGCCCAGAAACCCAGGTGTCCACACTGTTTCTAGGACTTAGGACTCCATCCCTTCCCCACACCCTGACTGGCAGCCACTCCCACCGATCAAACTCCTGTTTGGTTTCTCAGGTCTGCGGCCCTTCCCGGACAAACCCTAGCATTATGATTGATGACCTCCTGACCCCCTGCTCCCCAGGGGACCCGGGGGCTATGGAGATGACTTGGATGGATGTCCCCAGTGACAAACTCCTAGAACCTGTGGTTTGCATGGTAAGTGAACAGCGGAAGGGAGGGGACGGCACAGAACTCAGAGAATTGGGGCTTGCGTCTCACCTTTCTACCCCGGACTGCTGTGCTTTCTCCTAAACCAAGAAGGGCCTTGGGGACCCTGGGTGGCCTGGGCACTCACATCAGACTTAAAGACGGCCTAGGGCACTGCAGCTAGCAGTTCGCTGTCTTCAGCAAACACACTCATGATGAGCTGACACAACTCTGGTGTGTGGGTTTGGCTCATTTGCCCCAGAAAGAACTAGTTTCTGCCAGCTGATTTGGTTTGAGGCTTGAGCCCTGACTACCTTAGATTTGCCGGTTTTCTCGTCCGTCCTTTCTGTGCTGCCAGGTGTCGCTTGTGGCTGGTGGGGCGGATGCAGCTGAGAAAGAGCTGCCAAGGGAGTGAGGAGATGAGGGGCACTCAGGTTCTCAGAGCAGAAAGAAGGCCCACCTGAGAATTGTCAGGAGAGGGTCGTGGGGGCATAAGCACAAGCAGGCAGCTATAGGGAGCTGTACATTTGGGGGAAGGTCTGGGCCTCAGAGGAGAGAAACTGGACCCATGCCTGGCCCTCAGCTCCTGCCTTGTCTCTGCAGTCGGACATGCTCCGGTCTTTGGCCACCACCCGGCCCACTGTGAATGCCGATGACCTCTTGAAAGTGAAGAAGTTCTCAGAGGACTTTGGACAAGAGAGTTAAAAGCTCCTTCACTTTGGGTGTCAGTGAAGGTGGGAGGTTAACGGGGCAAATCCACAGCATTCCCCGTCGGTGGCCAGGCGGCCCCAGGGCTCGTCCTGAAGTCATCAGTGTCCTCTCCCGTCTGGCCGCCAGCAGGGAGCAACAAGGGCCCCAGCCCCAGAGAAGCTCCAGTGCACTTTGGGCCGGCGGGGTTCCTAGCTCCTCCACCTCTGGATGCTCACAACTCCTGTTTTTTTTTAACTTTTTGTTCCCCTAAGTTAATGCTGCTTGGAAATGTCTTGTTTATAAATAAAAATCATCTGGAAACGTTAAGGAGTGGAGCGGCCCTACTGGGGTGTGGGTGTGGGTACGGCACAGCAGACCTGCTGAACTGGCTTGCCAGTTCAGACCCACGTTGAACTGGAAAATGGACTGACTGGCCCCTGGTCCTCAAGCCACCTCTGCCTACAAAGAGCCCCCTCGAAGCCCAACTCCCCCATCCAGGGCCCTTCCATGGCTCCTGCCTTCCACAACAGGCGGCAGCAGCGGTCTCAGCAGCAAATGCTCAAGTGGAGAATGCCAAGAAGACGGGGCTGGCACTGTTGCCCTGTCTTCCCTCTGACTGTGACCACACTGAGCCAGCAGCCCTGCCCTGGTCCCGTCCTGGAAATGGTCTAATAAATCCTTTCCGTCCTGGAAATGGTCTAATAAATCCTTTCCCTCTGGAGCCTGATTGATCTCATCATTGACCCTTGTCTAGGATTCTTTGAAGGCCACTCTTGCTTCCTTTGAAAAGCCCTTCTGGTTCCCTTTCTTCAGAGTCGGGGGCCATCCCAGGCCCCCTTTCTCACCAAGACATTGGGTTTGGTTGAGTGTATAAGGAACCCAGGCCACCATTCTTCATATCCAGCTTCCAGGTCAAGATCTGACAACTGACTGTCTCTACATGTGCGTTTACATGTGCTGTGGCAACTGCAGTCATGTATGTTACCAAAACTCCTAAGACACAACCAGTTGGAGAGAGTGAGCCATGGAGGCTTGAGGCAAGGTCTCCTGGGACACAAGGGCCATTTGCATTACGCAATCCACCAAGGCAACGTTTCCACCCCACTCTGGTGTTTGACTGCTGGAGTCTTAGAAACCCAAACTCGAGCACAGCTATCTAAAGTACAACTGTTGGTCTCTCCCCATCCAGAATCTTTCACTCCTATCAGGAAGTTGCAGGCCATTGCTACTGACCTGTCACAGAGACTATTGCCCTCAGAACACTAAGTGGAAGCACCAGAGCATCCCAGTGCCACCCTGCTTGAGAAGAAGTGAAAGGAGGCTCAATAAAGACCTCATCTTTGTAAAGGCCCTTGTTTTCATGATGGAGAACTTTCTACAAACTTCTCTGAGGACCGTGTCTCTAACCTCAACGTGATGCTGGGTCACAATTCCTTTCCGAGGTGTTCACGCAGAATAGGTTTGCTTGGTGTGTTAGATGGGGTAGACTAGAGAAACAAATCCAGAGACATATGTGTAAGAAAGAGCTTTGTATCAAAGCAATTATATATTGAGAAATATCCCAACCCAGTCTAGGTCAAATCCTAAGTCCGATACTAGTCCAAAATTCCTTTTCAGACTCACGCAGCACATGCAATGATGCAGAATGCAGGAAGATCACAGGCCAGTTGGGGGAAAGTCCTGTGGATCCAATGGTGGACACATCTCCAGGCTCTGGCTGCCATCAGCGTGGCTCCATGTGGCTTGTCAACAGGGAAGGGAAGCAGAGAGTGGCCTGCCTCTTTTGATGGTAGAATCAACAGAGCAAGGCCAGACCCACAAGGAAGCATCTTCAGTTGTGACCTGATTGACAGGCTAGACCACCCCTTTTTTAAAAAGTTGACATGAAATTATGTAGCTACCACACTTGGTTTGGCCCAGGTCCAGAGTTGCCTTGTTTTAGACAAAGCCTGAAGGCAACGGTTTTCAACCTGTGGGCCTTGACCCTTTTGGGGTCGAATGACCCTTTTACAGGGGTCACCTGATTCATAACAGTAGCAAAATGACAGAAGTAGCAATGAAAATAATTTTATGATTGATGAGGGAACTGTATTAAAGGGTCGCGGCATTAGGAAGGTTGAGAACCACTGCCTTAAGGGGAATAATCTGCTATTTAAAACACTTTCCTAAGACAACTTACTGGATTTAAGATGCCCTGTCTACTCAGTCTTGAGGACCTTATTTGATAAAGGTATCCGAATTCCAAAACTCAACATAAATCGGATGTAAGCCAGTGTTTACTCTGGTCAGTGCCATGCTTTTTCTAAATTGTGACCAAGCAGCACAAATTCTGCTTTCTCTGTCTTAATTATGACTTGAGTTAGAGGCTGCTTGTTTCCTTTCAGCTCTCAGCCTGCCCCCTTCAGCCCTGCCTCCGCTCAGTGAACAAGCCAGGTACCGTGCTGCCTTAAGAAATCAGAGTGGAGACATGTTCCCTGGGTGTGCTAACGGCACCAAGCAAGAGGTGGAAAATCCACGCAGTTCCTAAGTGGAGGGCATTCTTTCCCATGGCACCCACGTCCAGGCTCTGCAGATTAGACACAGGCACCCAAGCCTTTTGGAAGAAGAGCTCAATGAATACAATCAACAGCCTTATCTGCATTTTTAAACAAGCATCTCCACCAGATAATTGGGGACTACATTATAAACTGCCGGCTTTGGGAAAGACTGTACGGCTCTCAAGTTAGTTCTAAGAAGTGACACCTCCTTCCTTCCTTCCTTCCACTTATCCCCACACAGAATTGTCAGGAAAAGCCCACTGCTCGGGCGGTTTTCTCCAAATGAAGGCAATGCTGTGTCCACCGCTGATTTCAGGCAAACATTTCTCGTCTCTTCCTCCAACGACTTGGCAGGCTTAGCAGTCAGTCCATTGTTTTCTGTCGGCTCCAAGCCAGTTCCCAGCTCACAGCTGTGAGTGTCCTGGTTTTGTGCACCCTCAGCAGCAGCAGAAGGGCCTTAGTCGTTCACTTCCATCCAGTGGATGTTTGTCAGCGTCCTGCTGTCCATTTTGTCAGTGAACAGGCAGCCCTGCAGGTGGTCCATCTCATGCTGGATGATTCGGGCTGCCCACCCACTGGCCTGCCACACCACCTGCTCTCCCTGTGGGTTCAGTCCTGTAAAAAGAGCAGAAGGATGTCACACACTGCAACAATCATGTTCACCCTCCTTCCGGAGCCCCCAGTGGCTGCTCCCATCCACCAACAGCCCTGTCTGAAGACGCCTCGCTGAAATTACCAAGCATCCAACCTGGATCTCGGCCTGAGATTAGGTTGCATTAGGTTCAACCCGGGGCTGAGACAAGGAACTATCGTCTTAAGGTGCTTCCTCAGAGCCTGCATCACAGTGGATTCAATGTTGGGTTGCTAACCAAGGTCAATGGTTCAAATCCAACAGCCATTCTGCGGGAAACAGGTGGGGCACCCTGCTCCCGTGAAGATTTGGTCTCGGGACACCTAGGCAGCAGTTGGACTCTATCCTAGGGTTGCTGGTGGGAAGTGACTCCACAGTGGTTTGGGTTTTAGGTGCTGCCCTTCCAAACACTCCCCCACTTCTGAAGTGTTGTGGTTTGCTTTCAGCTCTAACAGTACACTGGCCAAAAAGGTTGGTGGTTTGTACCCACCCCCAGAGGTGCCTCTGTGATGTGCTATTCTGAAAGGTCACAGCTTTAAAATAAAAACTCGAACTGTTCTACTCCGCACAAGTGTGTCCCAATTGACAGCAATGACCAACAATGTAAGTGACCTTCTGATGTTGGACCCAGTGGATTGCTCAAGAGTTACACCCATCCCTCTCCAGTGAGGAACTGCAGTGCACACGTGCATCCTGTGATGCTGGGTCACAATTCCTTTCCGAGGTGTTCACGCAGAATAGGTTTGCTTGGCTGAGCACTGGCCTGGGCAAAGCTGGTATCACTTCTCCAGTGCCGCCAGCCTGACAGGTCTAACTGGTGGAGGGGGAGGTGGGGGACGAGGTATGAGAACTGAAACACACCGTGAAGCAGAGGATGAGGTGGAGGTGACATTACACTGGAACCGGGCCACCCTCGCCGTCTCCACGCCACGATCCCCAACTGGAGCTGACTGTGCCCACACAATCCCCCAATCCTCAGTCCAGTTCATAACCAGACCCGCTCTCTGTCGATGCCAGGAGACCGGCTGAGCAGACCACAGGTAAGGGCATTCCCATCAGTCCACGAGAAGGGGGGCGTCCCGCAGTCCCCGCCACCCCGCACCTGAGATCTGCACGGCCTGGAAGCGGGGAACGCAGGCCAGGAAGCCGGAGACGCTCTCGCAGCCCTCAGGGAAGGTGATGAGGCGGCTGTCCACCACGCGCAGGCTGGGGTTCACGAACACGCGCAGGGGGATGGGTTCCATCTGGCGGGACTCGCGCATGCTCGGTGCGTAGTCCCGGAGGAGGGCCTCCGGGAGCTCCAAAGCCAGCACCTACAGCGGCACCCCGAGCTGCGGCGCGCTCAGCCCCACGCAGTGCCTGCGCCGCATCACCTGCACCAGCTGCTGCACCAGCCGCTGCAGTTCGGGCCCTGCCAACTGCGCTGGCTCCACTGGAGCGGCCACGGTGCGCAGCACTGGGTCCCCCACTTGGCACACGTGCGCGTAAGGCGGCTCCGGCGGGCCCCGTACCAGACGCCTCAGGTAGCGCCAGTAGGAGCGCGCGCAAGCCGGGCCCTCGGGGCCGTGTGTGGAGCTGTGGGCCCGAGCGGTGCCGATCCCCGCACCCTCTCCCCGCAGCAGGGCCAGGCCCAAGCCACGGCGCGTGACCAGCGCTCCCAGCAGCATCATACCCCGAAGCCGGTTCCTAGGGAGCCCCGAGCCGGAAGCCGGTCTTGGCCCCTCCCCCAGGCCCGGCCGCCCGCCCCCACTTCCGCCGCCAGGGACGCCGGGAAATGTAGTTCCTTTGAGCCTCCGGGGCGCTGGGGGTTCCTCCAGGTCACACAAGCAGCAAAACCACTCAGTGACTTGTCAGCCAGCTTTATTTATTTTTGTTTTGTTCAAGTTTTAAACACCTAAGCTTTATTATTTATTCCACTTTTAAGTTGTGTAATTGCTTATAGGTCACTTATAACCAGGACTTTGATTTTCCTATTACTAAATACCAGCGGCAACTAGGCCCTCTTCGGCCTGACAGACCTAGGTGAGGCTGGGTCTCCAGGACCTCAACGGTACCACCAACTCCTTCCTACCAGGCGTCCCCCGGCACGCGCTACTGGTTAAGTCCTCACACTGGGTGGGTCGGCCTGCAGCGTCTCCCCCTGCGGAGGTTCCCCTGGCGGGCACCCCGACTCAGCCCCCTCTGGCTCCTGCTCTGCCGAAACTGGAGGGCCAGGGGCCAGGCTTGGCTCTTCTGCTGGCAGTTCTGGGCCTGCAGTTGTGAACTCAGCCAGGACTTCCTTTTCATCTGCAGAGAAGACCATCTCTCTCTTGGGAAGGATGAAGGCGAGAGGCTCCTGGATGTTCACGATATTCACGTGCCCAAGGTTGCCGAACTTGGAGAGCTGGGCGGGTGGAATGCCTGGGCAGGGCAGAAGGGAAAGTGAAGTGAAGTGAAAAAAACTATTTATAAATACTTATAACTGAGAGGCAGTAGCACACCAATAGAACCTCAGTAAACATGGGGCTTCCAGCAGCAGACCCCCAGGGAAAAGCTGGGGAAGGCAGGGCAGCCACTCTGTTAATGGCATCACAGACCCCCTGCTACTTGGGAAGCTCTGCTCTCCCACCCCCACCTTCACCCAGGCCAGAGGGTGGACACAAGGGCATGAAGGCAAATTAAGTAAAATGGGTCACAAACCCCTTCTCTAGAAAGTTCATTCCATGAAAGCACTCCACATGGAGTCCTTTGTGACTGACTGCCTCCACTTGGCCCGACAGAAAAGACAGCACAATGGCAGACTTGGCCGATTTGAAATGGCCAGGAGGGCAGGTCTCTAGAGATGGGTGAGGTGGTGAGTAATGCCTGCTCGGTGAGGGGAAGGTCTTCCCATGAGGGAGTGCTGTACAACCGGAGGGGAAGCATGGCTGCACACCTCTGTAGAAAAGCTGGACGGTTAGGATGCAAATTCACTCTCGAGAAGCCTTTCTCCTTTCTCTTACCTAAAGTCTGTGCTATCTGAGCTGGCGGGAAGAGCAGCTGGAGACAGCGATTTAAGTAAGGGACGAGGTCTTCCAGGAAGACGGTGCAGAACTGGACAAAGAGCTCTTCCTCCCCACCAGTGAAGGCAGCCTCCTCTGCGCGATGGAAGGCCAGGATGACCTTGGTGACCTGAGAGGCAAGGGGAGGCTGTCACGGAGGCCGGGATCTCAAACTGCACAGAACGGGGAACCCCTCAAACTGTCACGAACAGTGCTGTCCTCAACAGTTCATTTGAGGCCCTATTCTTGTATGGTGGTGGAGCAGCAAGCGTCTGTCACTTTGCGCCTGTCTTTCTGACCCAACTTCTTTTATGACTGGCCTCGTTTCCGATTCTGCGGAGGAGTGCCTTTAAATGATGCAGAGAATGGATGCACCTCCCACCACGCGAGTGAAGCAAAGCTAGAAGAGGTTGTCACTGAGCGATCCTGAGGGCCATGTCACCAACATCACCTGACTGACGGCAACTGATTCCATCAACTCTTAAGGAGCCCCGCAATCGCAATCGCTAAGGTTGCTTTGTGCTCGGATTGTGCTGTGAACACTTGGGAAGCAGAGCTCTCAGGTGGCTCTCATGTTCCCTGCCCCTTGGTAACCAGCCACACAGAATAGGGTGAAAGTGAAGGATTTTGCAGATGCAATGAGAGCCTCTAATCTGTCCTTAATCAAAAAGGTGGGTATGGTCTAATCTGAGGAGCCTCTGAAAAGCCCAAGCTTGTCTGAAAGAAGACAGTCAAGCAGAAGAGATGCTCTCCCGCTGACCTTGAAGCAGCAAAGAGCCATGCTGTGAACAGCCTAGGAGCTTCGTGGCTCGGGGACCAGAGGACCTCAGTCCAGTCGGACTGGCAAGAAAAGCAGTCCTGCCAGCCAGCTGAAGGAGCTTGAAAGGGGCCCGGAGTTCCTGCAGCACCGCTGCCTGGCTGCAGTTTTGGAAGAGCATGGAAAGCCACTAACAGCCAGTAAGGTGAGCTACTTTATGGATTGTTCTGGGTTCCTGAAGAAGCGACTACTCAGAGATTTGCCACCAGAACACCTGTGAAACCACCCACCTCTCCACGTCAGCAGGCACCACAGTCATATGGGCTGGCTTATTACAGAACTCGTGGCCACCAGCCACCAATTGTGATTAAAAAGGATGGCATTTGCTCAAGGACAAGATGCAGGAGTGTGAGGAAAAATGGAGGAAGGGAGACAGGAAAACACTGAGGAAGTGGGATGAGCAATGGTCTACAGTGTGAAGATTACAATCAATGGCATGAAACAATCTGTGTAAGGTGAACATGAAAATGATCTGCCTGTAAACCTGCTCAATTTACAACGAAAAGTTTAAAACCAACCCAAATCCTGACTGCTTGTTACCAAACAAGGCCAACGGAATGGACTCACCTTGGTGAGGGCATCCTCCAGGGTCCCGGTCACATCCTGGGCCAATGCCATGGGGCAGCAGAGACGCAGGTCATTGAAGGCGACCAGAATATTGTTGAGGAAGCAGGCAAGGGGTGGGAAGTCTAGCAGCACCATGGGTGGCTGCAGCGTCCCTGGCTGGGCCACTGTTGTGGCGGCAGGGATCTGACTGCTGCCCAGGATGGCTGGAATCACCGTGAGTGTGTACGAGTTCATCTCATCCTGGAATTTCTCCACTGCTTCCTGAATGGCTTTTTGGAAGGTGTTGATGGCCACGCGCTGGAAAACGGGCGCCAACTGGCCCCGGAAATCTGCCCCCACTCGACTGAAGGACAGCCCAAAGTACATGCACTGGCCCAGCAGGGAGTCCAAGCGGCTGCCTACTCCACGGTGCAGGTCGCTCTCCAGGACTTGCAGGAACTGGGAGACCTTCTGCAGCACCCAGCCATGGAAGATGGCACTCTCGTTGACGGTGTGCTCACCCACAGGTGGGGGCAGCAGCGGGTCCTCGTCTGAGAAGATGGCCCGGTACTGCGTGATGATATCGAAGAGGTGGACACGGCAGGCCTCGACGGTTTTTGTGATGTGGAAATAAGGGTCATCGTTGGGGATGGCCGTCAAGATGGAATGGAGCCAAGCATCTCGCGCCTGAAGAAACTTCACCCTCAGCTCTGCCTCAGTGAAGATATCCATGCGCCGCAGGTAGCCAATGACGCGGAGGCAGGCGGGGAGCTGGATGTTGGTCCTCAGTTGCTGGATCAGCTGGCTCAGCATCAGCTGCATGGATTGGCGCACTTCATTCACAATGCCCTGACAATACAGGGAGTTAGCGACACCATACTGGAGGGACACTCCCTGAAGGCCATTCCACTCACCCTCTACCTTATAGACTGGACACCCCACGGCCTTCCTGACATGTGAGGCAGACTTCCTAAAACAGATGCTTCCAGGTTCACCCACAAAGACCTGGTTGGGCCAGTCACTTAATTAAAATGTTCCACTAATGTCTTATGGCAAGCCATAAAATTCGGGTACGCACCCGGCCTAGGTCTGCAGCTTCCTAATGCTCTGCCCACACCCGTTATAATCCAGTCCTACTGTCTCTGGATCCCCTAAAGGGGCAACGCCTTCCTCCCTTCGCGGGCCGCCGCTTCCCACTTCCCACTGTGCGCTCCTCAGATCTTACTGCAGCGGACTCCGCATCCCGTGGGCCTCACCTCAACGTCACCTCTCCAGAAAGACCTTCCCTGACTAGTCTACCAAATGCAACCCACCGGTCTCCCTGGACTCCATTCCCTGGTTTTGGGTTTCAAGCCCTTATCAGAACGGATATTATGTATCAACGTGTCAATTAGCAGACATCCCAAGAGGACGTAGGCTTTACGAGAGAGCCGGGGCCTCCTCTGCTTTGTCACACTCTTAGGCCAGTACTTGTGACATGATTGATGTGTGTCAGTTGAAGGAAGGAAGCAAGGAACAAGTGAAAGCGTTGTTTGGGTCGGCCGGCTTGTAGAAACTGACATGAAACACGCAAGGGGCTCCTTAAGGTTTCCGCCTACAAATTCCGCGATGACCACGGAAATACTAGTTGGGGAAACATCGGGCTGAGCCCTCTGTGGGCAAGAACACTACCTGGATGACAGGGATAGAGGAGTGTTTCCTTTCCAGTCGGCGGACATAGGTTGCAAGTTCTAGGGCCTCCTCGTAATAGCTGTTGCGGACACAGGTATCCATGAGCTGGGGAATCTCCAGGATTTCAAGGATTTCCGTGTGCCGGTTGAGAGTCAGGGTGTTCATCCGACGGCTGGAGCTGATCTCCTCCGCCTCCTTCACAAAGTTCCTAGTAACAATCAGGAGAATATTGGCCCTCCCCATTGCTTGACACCCGAATCGGAGTAACATTTTGTTTCCAAGAATTGACAGTGAAGTGGGTGCTGGCTGAACTTTCATGGCAAACCTAACAGGTAACTCATAGCAAACCTAACAGGTAGGTGCTCTTCCCCTTGAGGACACTAGTCTTGGACACGTGGCACAACTTGTCCAAGGTCCCACAATTAGTAAACGAGTGAGCACAGATGTCGATCCAGATGTGTCTCCTCCTTACTAGCTGTGGCAAGACAGCTTCTCTAAACTTGTTCCTTAGATAAAACAATACGACTCCTCAGATGACTGTGCGGATTAAAATACTTGATCCAAGGACAGTGTTAAGTGTTAACATAAACCCTAACATGGAGTTCGTGTTCTATAACAGCTCAGCCGGAAAAAAAACACTCACTGGCATCATATCGATTCTGACTCATAACGACCCTCCCTCTACTGCATTTATTACTATAACTAGTCTCATACAAGCATGAATCAGTCTCAAACTCGCCAATCTTACCGCTGTTTCCATAGCCTCTTACTAACCCCCTCGTTCAACCTTTGTTCCTTAACAAAGTCTACTCTTTACTTTTACTGAATCAGAGATCTGCTTTACAAAGTTCCTTATCTCTTCTGGGAGGTAGAAAGGTACAAATGCTCTGTAGATGCCCAAAAGCTCCCATGAAAAATCACTTTTTCCTCTCTCCCATGGAGGGTTAGAAGGCAGAATGGGCGACAGTTAGGAGGCAGAATCTGGCACCATCAGAGAGGGCCTTCTTGATTCATTTGATGCCCCCAAATAGGACTATTTCCTTGTCAAGATGCCTATCACTTAAAAGTTGTGGGCTACTGGTGCGGGCTTTTGTATGTAAAGATGCACCTGCAACTCTGCTGGAAGCTCGGCAGGCGGTCGAGCAGGCGGCCGAGCGACGCCTCCACGTCGCCGAAGAGGCGGTGGATGCGCTCGGTGCACTCGGCCCCGCGGATGAAGGTCTTGTAGTTGGCGAAGGCCAGGTCGCGCGTCTGCTGCAGCAGCTGCGCCCGCTCCTCGGCCAGCCGCTCGGGCTCGCGCCGCAGCCGCTCCAGCCCGGAGCCGCTCAGCTCTCGGAGGTAGCGGCCCACATCCGGCCGCTCTCGCCACTGGGCCTCGGGGAAGCGGTCGCGGAACAGCGATGCCAGGAGTCCTTCGTCTTCCACCTCTCCGACCGCTGCTGCTGTGGCCGTCGCCACGGCCGAGACCTGAGTGGAGGCCGGGAGAGTCGCTGTCGCCGCCATCTTCCCGGCAGTAGCGTCGTTCCCCCGCCGGACCAGAGGGGGCGCTGGCTCCGAATACCGGACCGGAAGCAGCAGAAATTCATTTCCGGCGCTTTTCCTCTCTCACTCGCTGGTCTCGCTTGCGCGTAGGTCCTTCCGCTGGTGTGGGGAATGCCCGGAAAGTGGACGGAGGGGCCACTCTGAGGTGTAAGGGCGCTTCCGTTTCCGGTGTGTGAGGCACGTGGATCCCGTGTTCCTGCTTAGCGGGAAAATGCGGCCTTTAACCGAAGAGGAGACCCGTGTGATGTTCGAGAAGCTCGCGAAATAGTAAGAGGACGCGGGGCGGAAGAGTGTGTGTGGGCAGGGGCGCGGGGGGCGTGAGGAGCAGCCTCCATGGCTTCTTGTACCTTCAGCATCGGGGAGAACCTTCAGCTGCTTGTGGACAGACCCGACGGCACCTACTGTTTCCGGCTGCACAACGACAGGGTGTACTACGTGAGGTGAGGACAGGCCGGGCGGGCAGCGTGAGTCCCGACGGGGGCCTGGGACCCACTCCCGCCCCTCACCCCATACCTTCTCACTCCGTCACACCCCCACCGCCCTTCAGCGAGAAGATTCTGAAGCTGGCCTCCAACATCTCCGGGGACAAGCTGGTGTCACTGGGGACCTGCTTCGGAAAATTCACTAAGACCCACAAGTTCCGGTTGCACGTCACGGCTCTGGATTACCTGGCGCCCTATGCCAAGGTTGGTGGGATGGTAACCTTTGTGGGGTCGGGGTAAGTCGTGAACGAGAGTCGCACCAGGATGCAGAGTACTGGGCACCGAGCCCCAGTCGCGCAGAGGCCAGTATCAGCATGCTTGTTGGGCTTGCTGCTGGGGCGGGGTCGTGGGTGTGGGTGTGGGTGTTGTCTGCGTAGTCGTAGTTACCATCAGCAAAATGAGGCCACTAAAGCGAATCAACGCTTCTGATGAGGTGGGTAGTGGGAACAAGAAAAGTGCTGGAAAATGGTCCGTGGCTACCGAGTTGTGAGAAGACCCTCCTGTCAGTTGTATTTAGCGAGTAAACAATTTAAGGAAAGAACGAGACCTTAATTAAGCCTCAGCTGTGTAAGCAATGAACACTTCCAGCTGGTCACCCGCCCTGCGATGGGGCAGCCCAAACCCCGGGCTCTCTTTCTGGGAGATCTGCCTGAAAACCCTTTGGAGCCCTGTCGTGCATTGACCCCCACGGGCTTGCCTGGAACCCAACTCGCCTCCAGGGCCCCTGGTGCCGCTCACGTGCATAAACAGTGCTCTCCGTCTTAATGCTTCAAATGCAAGGAATGGACTACAGGTTTCATTCTTTTTTACAGTATAAAGTGTGGATAAAGCCTGGAGCAGAGCAGTCCTTTCTCTATGGGAACCACGTGTTGAAATCTGGTCTTGGTCGAATTACTGAAAACACTTCTCAATACCAGGGAGTGGTAGTCTACTCCATGGCAGACATCCCTCTGGTGAGTAGAAATGGTATTTTTTATCTATTTTAAAAAACAACAACAGCGGAGTGCCTTTTTATTTATGAAGGCTGCTTTTCAGATTGCATGCTGAAAGACTAAGTTCTCAGTGTCTTTTGAACTCCCTTCTAAAGGACCGTATTTTTTTTCATCTTTGTTATTCCTGGTTTTCGGCACATAGTGAATCGGTGAATTGAATCAGTGTTTCTTCTCTTGAATCCCAGGGTTTTGGGGTGGCAGCAAAGTCTACCCAAGACTGCAGGAGAGTAGACCCCATGGCGATTGTGGTATTTCATCAAGCAGACATTGGGGAATACGTGCGGCACGAAGAGACATTGACTTAGTCATCGAGACTTGTGGCTCTGTGGAAGGGCCTGGGCTTGATTCCTGTTGTCTGTGTTGGTGCCACCACCGAGTTGAGTTATGTCGACCATGTGACCTCTTCAGGAACTTCTGGGTTTATTCTCTGTTCAAATGCAGGCTGGACTGTTGCTATGCAGAAACAGCTCCAAGGTGTTTTTTTATCTGTTTGTGGCTAAATCAAATAATGTGGTTTTTAAAATTTGAATCAGAGGGCTTCTTGTTCGTAGTCTTTGGAACTAAGGACAAGAATGGCTTATTACTGTTATCTGTGATAACACTGCTTTCCAGACTCGTGATAAGAACATGATCGGTTTTGCTGTTATTTATTAGTGTCATGAAAGATATTGTCATATCTGAACATGTAGGTCATGTTTAGGATTTTATAAATGAGATTTGGCTAAAATAGTATTTTTCTACATGTGGTATGGAGGGTGGGGATCTGGATTCAAATTCTTAATTCTGTGGCCTTGGGTGGGTGATTCAGGTTTTTGAAGCATTGCTATGAAACAGCTTCCAACCATCTACCTAGATGGTTTTTAAAAAATGGAGAGCATGGTTGTTATGCGCCTTGCACAATGGATAGGAAATGATAGGTGCTCAATAAATTATCGTTTTCATGTTACATATACTGAGTATATTGTACATGCCGAGTGGAGTCTTACACAAGTCTCACTGAATTGGTTTTTCTGAGCCACTCTGTTGATCTTGCAGGTTGTGATCTCCAGCCGAAACGGGGGATAATTTCATCCCCTGGACTTCATAAGGCACGATTCTTTGATGAACCTTTTCTCGCTGACAACAAAGCCCTAGTGAGAGGACCCTGAAATAGTAATTCAGCTCCTTTCTCCTTCCCCACGCCTTGCAAATACATATTTTTGTAAATAATACTCATTTCTTATTGCAAAGTAACATCTCTCAAAATCTGCAACTGCCTAAAAGCCCTCTACTAAGTCTAGATTTCGTATGAGAACTTGGTTTCAGCCCAGCTTTCTCAACTTAACTCCTCCAGCCTTTTAATCTGTAAGTACTGATTATGAAGAATAGCATTTTGATGGGTCACATTTACTACATGCCTTAGAAAAGGCCAACTTCAAAACCATCACATTAAATACAGCCAATCCTGCTTAACTTGATAGTCAAGAAATAAAAAGAATAGTTCTTTTCTCTAGAGCTAATAGATACAACCACAGAACTTAAAACAGAATGTCAAAAGTTGCATCTGCAGATGATCAGAAAAAGACAAAGGCAATAAAGATAAATTTTAACCTAAGTTTAGGCTTTTTAGACAACGTAAGCTTTTATTTTCATACATATATATTTCAAAGAAAACTTCCATCGTTTTTCTTTTGTTGAATTCTTTGTAGATGAGAGCAAGAGTCAAAAAATTCTGACACCAGAAATTGTTTTTTCCAATAACTTTACAAAGTTGATTGGACTGTTTCCTGCCCAGAAGACAAGATCCAAGCTTCTGTGTCCTCTTAGCATCTTGGCTTCTGTGTCTCTGTAGTTGTGGGAGCATTGAAGAGCCGCTTCAGGAAATACAACTGCAGAGTCCCAGAAAGAACAATTACAAAGCTCTGGGCTGCCGACCACCAGTTCACATAGTTATAGTTTGACTGGAGAAGGAAAAGGTCGGCCACTTTCCGCATCCGGGCAAAGTTGTAGTAACGCCACATGTGGAAGATGTTGTTCTGCACCTTCCTTGTACTCTCCTGTGTGGGTGAAAATGACATTGTTAGAAAAGCCGCCGCCCCACCCCACCCCACACACACACCAAAGGTCCCCAACGCCATCCTCCCTCAACAGCTCATAAGCCAGAAGTTAGTCAGTTATGTAGCTTTGCGAGATCAGGGGTTATAATTGATAAATGATTTGTTTGACTAAAAATACATAATTTTTATACGCACGCACACCTTGGACTTTTTATTTTAGAAACCTTTATACTGAAAGTTCTAGTACTTGAACCACAGAGCTTTCTTCGGGGTTTCTGCATAGAAACACGGTGTCCATCCATCACTGTACCCCGCCAGTGACGTCATTTGCTCTTTTTCACATGTGGCAGAAGACGGGCCAGCAAGCCTTTTCTTAAATGGGCCAGTGTCATGAAGTAAATGAATGTTGCAGTCCACCCTTAGGATCTCGATTTTAGCCGTAATGTATGAGCACCTAAGCATGGCTATGTTTCAGTAAAGGTTTACTTACAAGAAGACTTAGACAATGTTGTGTAGAAACAGTTATCTTGTAATTCCAGTTTTTTTCCCAGAACTCCTTACAGAAACAGGCAATAGACTTTGGAGCTTCAAAGGACACCATCAAAAAGTTAACACCCTACAGATTGAAAGAGTCTAGCGTCCAGGTATAAAAACTCTTAAATTGAACAAAAAGAGACCCAATTTAAAAACAGACAAAGAATCTGAGGAGGAGTTTCTCCAGAGATGTACAACTGCCAATAAGCACATGAAAAGACCCTCCGCACCGTTGGACACTAACTAGGGGAATGCAGTCCCAACAACCATAAGATACTTCACACACGTCAGGATGGCTGTCATCAGATGTGGGACGGATGTGGAGATGCTAAAACCGTCCATTGTCTAGTGGGGGTAGTTAAAGGCCATGAACACCGCTGGATGGTTCTGCAAGGAGTTGGAATGATGCCTAAGTAGCACTGCTGGATCCCACAAAACTTCTAAGCAGAGACTCACTGTACACCAACATTTATAGAACTATTCCCAATTACCAGAAGGTAGAAACAAGTGTCCCTCGACATTAATCTTCTAAAAATAAAAGTATATAGACAAAAAATGATGCATGCTACAATATGGGTGTAAACTTGTAAACCTGCTGGGGTAAAGAAACCAGGCGTATTGTATGATTGCATCTATGTGAACTAGCCGGAATAGGCAAAGCTATAGAATCAGTTTGATGAGTGAGCGGGCACCCAGGGCTGAAGGGAGGAAAATAGTGAACAATGGTGTGGGGTTTGTGGGGAGGTCAAAATGCCCTCATGATGGCTACACAACCATAAGCCTTAAAACCACTAAACCGAACACTCAAAAAACGGTGACTTAAGTGGCTTTGTGTTACATAGCCTTTATGAAAGAACATTTTGGCCTGTGAGCTGGTTTGCCAGAATGAGTCAGATTTCAGGATCTCGTGCTGTTAGTATTTAGTAAAGGCCCTTTGTCTCCATGCGTGGAGTCCTGCTAGCATAGCTTGAACCACCAGCAACTCGAGAGGAAGTGTCACTCCTATAAACAGTTACAGTCTTAGAAACTCACAGGGGCAGTTCGACTGTGCCCTATGGGGTCACTATGACGCAGTATTGACTAATGACAGTGAGTTTGATTTGGTCTTCTGCCATACACAAAGAAAAAGACCGCATCCACTTGACTGGTTTCTCTCCAGATACAGTCACTCCACTGGCTTTCCTCCCATCATCGTAATTTCATTCAAAATCTGCTTCCAGGACATCTCTCACACAAAATACTTCATTACCTCAAGTGCGTCCAGAGTATCATTCAGTTGTTTTCTTTCATTCTTCTCTCTCTGGTCCATCTCCGGCCCCTCATAGAAGACTCCAAAGTTTAGATACACTTGTACAGAACCAAAGTGGTTTTGCTGGTTACTTACACAAAGCTGATAAAAACCTGTAGGGATTCCTAGATCATTACAAAGTCTGGCTTCTATCCTTTGTTAAATTTCCCCTAGAGATACCTGTTTCCGGTGGTAAGTTTACAACACAGCACCCTCTTTGCACTTGGGAAGTACAAAGATCAACGTTTTGACATGCTAGAGGTTGATTTGACATCAAAGTGATTTTTACTAAGTATTTTCATAAATGGTACCAAATAGAATTTTGTGCTGGGTAGAATACTTTTTTCCAATCTTTATTAAAAAGCTCCCTAATAAGGGAACTGATCACAAAAATTGATGTATAACACCTGTCCCCACGCGTGCATACGTGCGTGTACACACACACACTGATACCCCGAGGGGGTCCCCCTGTGTGGGAGTAGGGATATTTGGTTAGAGATGTGTGGCATTGTTTTGTGAGAGACTGATCAGAAGGCACTCTGAGCAGTCTTAAGTTCCAAGTAGTCTGTAACAGTGACTCCTGGGCTACACAGTGCAGGGCACGGTCTTTGTCAGCTGTGCCCATGAGAAATGCCTTGTTCATACTCTAATCTATTAAAAGAGCCCAAGGGTAGTGTAAGCAAGTTAACTTGGCTGCTAATGGAAAGGCTGGAGGTTTGAGGTTGCCCAAAGGTGCCTTGGAAGAGGCCTGGTGTTCCTCTTCTGGAAAATCGGCCATTGAAAGCCTGATAGAGCACCCCACCCCCACCCCAATACACATGGGGTGAGGCAGGAGCCAGGATAGCCACTGTAGCTCTTGGCATGTTTGACTGGTAAAAGCCGTGAGAGCATAGCCAGATAGTGTTGGCCGTGGGGATGGGCGCTGTCAGGTGAGAGGAAGCTTTGGGGGACCAGAAACGTGCTTGGAGAGTGCAGCTGTTTGACAGCACCCAGCATTTCCTTGGTTCTACATCTGCCTTTTGGTCACCGACTGACTCCAGCTACCACAAGGTCAATCTAAGCACTGAGGATTAGATGGGTCTCTGTTTTGGCCACCTTCCTAAACTCTGATCAGTTGGGAATGGTGAGATAAAACTGAACTTGTGGACCCTGGAGTTAGCCGTAAGCAGCCACAGACCCCAACTGCAAACTGCCAGCGGGCTGCTGCTGGATGTCCTTATCTCCAGTCCAAGAAAACTGCTCAGCTCTCTGTTCATCATCCCCCTGTGGAAAAGACTGGGCTTTTAATTTCCGTACTTCTTCATTATTCCCCCAATTGTGCAGGAATTTATGATTAGGGTAGCTGGCGGGAAGGGGAGGGACAGACCTGTCTCCTGGGTAGAGAAGTTAATCTGGCCTCGAACATCCTGGGAGGTTTCTATCAGGAAGCCCTGTGGGGTATATGCAGTGGCAGCAACATGCCAGCCATGTGACATTCCCAGTGTCCGCTGAACCTGCCAAGACATTAAAGAAAGTTGTAGCTCTTCGCTGTCACCAGGAAGTTTGCTAAGTAATAAGGCAGACATCCTGTTATCCTCAGCACAGTGGTTCTCATCAGCCGGCCCTTTCCCATGCCGCCTCCCCCGCCCCCCTCCCAAGCCTTCAGTGGGTGTAGAAATGAACAGAGGCTTTTTTTAATTGCAGAAAGGTAGAGCTGCACTGATGTTGAATATCCTGCACTGCAGGAACAAGTTGTCTTGCCCACAGTGCCAGCAGTACCTCCTGTGAAAGAGAAGGCATGTCCCACAGCTGGCACATGTCAGTTGGTTGGTCCTTGACTGGCTGTAGAGCTCTGGCCCAAACGAGCATGGTAGTTTAGCTCCCTGGCGTTTCCCAAACTTGGGCTTGACAGTTCCTGGCCACAGAAGACATTCCATGGGCACACACATCTCTAGTCTACAAAAAGCTGGCTACTTATTGTTCTAATCTAAAATCAGAGATAAAAAACAGTGGATTTTAAGTTTCAGTGGAATGGAGTAAGGTCAACAGTCTATTTAGAACTCAGTCAACAAAACCAGGAGGTTAACCAGTTTCTAAGATAAAAAAAGAGAATAAACACTTGGATCGTTAATAATGAACTCGCCATCCTTAGGTACCGTGGTGTATGATCACATATGGGTGAAACTACCCGGACCTTGAAGATTTTCAGAAGTTTAGCACCATTGAGCAGTAGCTAGGATGATTTACCCATCCACGTCCTCCGTACAGCGGACAGGCCCCTCCCTGCATGGTGCAAATTCAAGGACAAGTTTGGACATAGGCAGGTTCCTTGAAAAGACTGGTCTTCCTACAGGGTGACAGAATGTCCAGCTGAATAGAAAAACCAAGCAACTGTGGTTCTGGGATTTGCAAAAATCGCTCTTCAAGACAAAGGGCAGAAATGCCCCCCACCCAACCCTGAAGGAAAGCAGCTTCCTTCAAAATCTGAGTCTATCTCCAAAGTTCTTGTGACTTTTTCATCTAACTTTACACCACATCCATGTTTTGTTTAGAAATAGATTTGCTCACTCTTACCTCTAAATCAGCCCATTTGAGCACCTTTTCAGGAAGGGGTACCGTGGGGAGCACTATTTGGGAGCCGTGAGCACGCCTGCCCAGCCCTGGGGCTTGAAGAGGCAAGCCATATGTTGTGGCTCCACTAGACTATCCAGTAGGACTGCAGGCCAGTACAAACCAGAAACTTGTTTTCATCCAATCTCCGACCCACCATACTGAAGGAAAAAACAAACAACAAGCAAGTCCCCTGTATTGCCGGAAGAATGCACATACCCACCTCATAGCTGAAATAGAAGTATCCAGTCTGATGGGCTAATTGCCAAAAGCATTCTGTGGCCCCTGGTGGGATCATGATGGCAAAATCATACCGGTTTGCTGCATGGAAGAGCGGCTGGTCCCCAGAGCCAATAAAGGGTTCTGACTTCTGGCCCCTAGCAGAGGCCACTAGGTTCAGAACCACCAGCCCAGCACCAAAGATCAGGGGAGACATGCTGCTTTCTGGAGGTTGCTCTACAGGTGTACTGCTTGTGGCTCCAGAGAACCAAATTCACACCACCAGCAAGGTAATCATTAACTCCACGTGTCACATTTAGGTCAACTTCAAGGTGGCACACTTATTCCTTAGTTGAACAGGTATGATGAGTCTCAACATGTTTAGCTCGGAAGAAGTTTTTACTTTGATTTCAGGAACTTAAGGGCTTATCAAACCAACCTTCATAGCTGATACGTGGAAGCTTCGACCTCAGAATAAATATTGCCACCCTTCCATCAGCTGTTTTCCATTCTTCTCATTGGGAGTGGACTACTGGTTAAGGTTATTTACAACCACTTGGATGTGGTTACTAACGCAAAGGTGATGGTAAACCCACCAGCCACTCCACAGGAGAGTGACTAAAGAATACAGCCTAGGAAACCCACGAGACAGTTCAACTTTGTCAGACAGCGTTTCTGTGCATGGAAATGGACTCAACATCAGTTTTTCATCCATTATTAAATTGCTCGGTGATACCTTATTGTTCCCAAAGACCCCGAGGGCCACGTCTGTTTCAAGAGGCATTTTTCTACAACTTCGATAGCAAAGCCCAGCATTCACATGTGTGGCAAAACCTTAATCATAATCTCATGTATAATCTACCTCAGTCTGCTGTCTGCTACCAACTTCCACCTGGATGAGCTATCTTAAAAGCCATGCAGCCCACTAAAAGACCAGTGTATTGTTCAAAGCTTCTATTTTTCCTTTTATACATTATTTCACCCACAAGAAGCTCACTTAACACCCACTGACAGGCTGAGATGTACCTGCACTTGTCTTCACAACCCTGTCACCTGTGGTCCTAGAGACAGCAGCTGTAGGCAAAGCCCCCAGGGACTTGCTCATGGTCCCACCACCACACCTGCCAGAGCCGGGGCTGACTGCAGCTCACTTTTAACCCCAAGGACAACTTTTCTTGATCATCAGTCTCTGAGCTCCAAGAATGTCTAAGTGTCACTAGTTATTTCAAGGATAGCCCCCAAAAGTATTATTACCTTCTAACCAAGCACAGCATCAGAATTCATTGCACAGACTCCCAAGTGGTACCTGAGTTGCCCACAAGTATGTTAACAGGCTTTGTAAGTGTGCGGTTTTCTTGGCGTGGAGGCCGTGACATGGTACTCTGGGGGCCTATAGGGGTACAGACTGGAACCACCTTGCAGCACACCCTCCCTAGAGTCCCACAGCCACCAGGGTCATGCACAGCAACTGTGATTCAACAAATGCAGTTCATGTTTCTTAACTGTAGGCACAATTTTGTATACATTTCAGTAACACTTAATAACCTCCCTGGCGGTCTAATTATGTCAGTAATTTTGTTAAGGAACTTCTCTGCAGTGTAATCCCGAGTGTGGCTCGGGGTTACCGCTTCTGACAGTTAACATTTACCCGGAGTCGCACTCATGATTACCGCCAGGCAGGTTAACAAAGGGTGTGGATGTCTGTTCTGTCTCAGGTTTGAGAAACCCTGAGGATATTTTGTTCCCCGACCTGCTTGGCTTAGAAAGTACTTAGAAAGTACCACCTGATGAGAGGAGGAAAGCTATAAACCACAACCAGTGGCAACCACGTTGTTGGGACGGAAAGCCTGAGCAGGACAAAACCCGAGACACATAGCTAATTGGTAACACGGCTGGACAAAATGGGCATTTTTAAACTGGAGCACTTCTTTCAACCTGCCTTCCATTCACTCAGAAGTGAGAAAGGGGAGAATCTTTTTACCCCAGAAAAATTATGTGATGTGAAGACATTGACAACGTAAGAGGAAGAGCCTCCGGTATGTCTGGGATGTGTGGCACCAGCTTCTTGATCACTGTAGTTTGGCTGAGTGAGTGTGCCCATCTGTGGCTGCCCCCACTGCTGACATGTGCTGGCCTGTGATTAAACAACTACTAAAATCCGAGAGAAGCTAGACTTTAATGAAGGCTACAAGTTACAGACAGTAATTCTCATATTAAGAAAAAAAAAATACAGAAAACATTTTACTGCATTTTGTTGCTAAAAAGACGGTCTTTCAGGATGTTAGCGAGCAAGCACAACACAGTACAAAAGGAGAAGGAGGGCACGGTGAATTCCAGTGCAAGACACCAACACAGCACAATTAAGGGGAGTCAGGCAGAAGCCACCGTTTCACATAGAATGGAATTAGGCATTAATGTTTAATAAAGGGTGTTTTTTTTTTTGGGGGGGGGGGAGATTTTAAGCTTTAAAAGTCCAGCAATAAGGAAGAAAATTGATAAGGGGGGTAGTGGGAGAGGGAAAGAGGTTAGAGAAAAGCTAAGCTTATCTACAATCACCATTTTACAAAAAAACACACTGGTTCAACCACATGGGAAGCGAAGGTGAAACCTGCCTGTGTGGCCCAGCAAACACTAGGAGCAGATGCCAAGGCAGTCAGGTGTGGGTGTGGCTGTCACAGCTGGCTAAATGGTCCCTCACAAGGGACTCCTGACTCCACAAGGCCTGCTTTCATCAACCTGGGTTCATGACAAAGTTCCTTTGTAGATTTTTGAGAAGGCCAAACTTTTACCTGGGACAAGTTCACTCCAGAAAATAAAACTGCTCACATTGCTGGTTTCAACAGGTCACAGAATCAAATGTGGCTCCTAAAAGACTCCGCCATTTCCTAGAAGGTTCTGATTACTCGGGGCTTAAAGTCAAGCAAACCACTAAAGAGGGAAGTAGTGATATCCTGGCATATGCAAGCTGTGCGCTTGTCTTCTGCCAAAGACATGGGGTAGGCTTGGCTTGGCTTGGCTTGGCTTGGCTTCTTCGTTCCATGACCTTCAAAGCACTGCTGTGGAACTGGGCCCTCCCTCACACAGGAGGAGGGTGCCCAGCATTTTCATCTCGGCCCAGCTTCCAAAAGAAACAACAGATTCTCAGGGGTGATTATTAGGAACCATGCTCCTGTTAACATTGTGGACCTAATGGCCTGTTTCAGATCATGCCAAGTCTTTTCATGGTCCGCCAGCGATCCTTAATCATCACAGCTGTTCTGTTAACAAATGGGTAGTTTTTAGAAATGGCAGCCCAGTTTCCTTCTCCGTATTTCTGCACTCCAGCCTTGACCCACTCGCTTTCCTCTAGAGTCCACTTCTGCAAAAGAAAACCAAGACACGTGACAACCTGCCGCCCACTCCTTCACAGCTTCTCCAGTAAGTGGAGAGGACAAAACCAAGAAACCCAGAGAGATCTCCTTGGAACCCCAAGGCAGGTTGGTATTTCTAGAGCATGATAGAGACACTTCATGAACTGTAGAGTGGGGCCTTTCATGGTTTCTAACAATGGTGCCACTTCATCCCCAAGTAATAAAAGGACAACACACATCACAGCAATGTGTGATGCTCAAGGTTTAAACATCTGTCAGCCTTCCATCCTTAATTTTTCTTCCAGAGCATAATGATTTAGATTAGTTAAGATTATATGACCATCTCCAAACGGACTTTTAACAGGCGCATGGAGAGCTTGGGCCTGTGAGAAATGGGCATCAGCTTTACCTCCTGTTTTACCCACCGATGAGGAAAAACAACTTTCAATTACCTGTTTTTTGGTTAAGCTGATTACAGAATCATCTGGGTCTGGAAAACATTGAAAGTAGATGCATTTCAGAGTTGCTAACTTCACACAGACAACAAAAGCAGACATGGAATGCACACAAAAATGCTTAGAAGAAGGACATTGCCAAAGAATAGTTTGTTTTCCCCCTTAATTTGCAAGACATCATTCTACCCCATGAAAAAACAAAGCCAGTGCTTTTTCAACAGGCATTCAATGAATGTGTTATGGATTTCAAAGGCACACTCATAGCACAGTGGTTAACCTGATGGGTTGTCAACAGAAAGGATGGTGGTTCAAATCCACCAGCCACCTGCAGGAGAAAGCTATGGTAGCCTGCTTCTGTGAAAATTATAGCCTTAGAAACCCTCTGGGACATCTTCTAAGGGTCTCTGAGTTGACATCCACTCAACATCAGTGGCTTGGGTTTTATTTAGATGGATTTTGATTTCTTAAGCAAAACTAACATCATTAAAAAAACACACATCATTTTCTAAAACTATTGTAGGACTGTGATACTTAAAACCCATGTAATTTCTTTATGCTAACTACTGCTTTGAAGTAACCCTGCTTTATCCGTGATCATTTTACATTCAGTGCACCTCAACAAAAGAACCCAGAGCTACTGCATTCCACTCTCACAGAACATGCAAAGTCTGTTCAAGCGCCATCCTGGGGCTCAAAAATCACATGCCCTGAGCTTGTCTTGAGTGACCAGGAGGCTACAGGAGGGCACACACGTGTAAAACACATGCTATGTGTAGCCAACATGTGCTGGTCTAAAAGCTACAAGGAAAGTCAAAGTTGCATAAAACTTGCCAAAGCATCTGCCTGAGCTGATGCCACTGTCGCAGCGATGATTCCAGAACAGTGCAGGAAGGTGGTTCAGGAAAACAATACTGAAGTTCACTTTGAAATAATAAAGTACTTCAAATTATGTGGAAGCAGATGTTTCTAGAACTCATAGCTTGCTTTTATATATTTAATACTACTTTTATTATTTCTTGCTTGATGTTCTATTTCCTGTGTGATCTTGACTGTGCCATCGATATTTCTGCCAATGCAGGTACTTTGTAGGGAGAAAACATTTGAGATTGGCAAAAAGATACCAGTGTCTACGTTTAAAATCTTTGTTGTATGCTGGTTCCAACTCTGAGTGGCCCCAGGTACCACAGAATGTAACACTGCCTGGTCCTGGGCCATCCTCACAATTATTGTTAAGCTTGAGCTCATTGTTAGTCAGTTGTCAATTCATCTCATTGAGGGTCTGCCTCATTTTCACTACCCCTTGAACTTAACCAAGCATGACATCCTTTTCTAGGCCTGACCCCTCCCTATTCAAAGGACGTGACGTCATCCTTGCTTCTAAGTACTCTGATTACACCTCTTCCAAAACAGGTGTGGTCTTCATTCCCAACACCATAACTGAAAAGCATCCATCCTTCAGTCTTCCTCATTCACTGGCCATGCATATGAAATGATTAAAATACCATGGCTTGGATCCAGGTACACCTTAGCCAGCAAGGTGGCATCTTTGCTTTTTAACATTGTGCACAGGTCTTTTGCAGCAGAATTACCCAGAGTTAATACATCATTTGAGTTCTTGGCTGCTGCTTCCATCGTTGGCGACTATGGAGCCAAGAAAAGCGAAACCTCTGACACCTGCAATCATGTCTCCATTTAGCATGATGCTGCTTGAGCACCTAAGTGGGAGGATTTTTGGGTTATGTTGAGGTGTAATTCACAATGAAGGCTGTAATCTGATCTTCATCAGTATGTGTTTTGAGTCCTCTTCATTTTCACCAAGTAAGGTTGTCTCATCTGCATGCCAAAGGCTGTTAATGAGCCTTCCTCCAGTGCTGCGGCAGCATTCTTCATAAAGTCCAGGCTCTCGATGATTTGCTCTGTATCTCGTTGATTTGATCAACATACAGAATGAATATGCATGGTAAGAGGACACCCCCAGACGCACACCTTTCCTGATTTAAAATCACACAGTATCCTCTGTTCTGCTGGAATGACTGCCTTGCAGTCTTTGTCCATTTCACAGAAGCACAATTAAGTCTTCTGGAATTCCCATTATATATTGTTATTTATAGTCAAAATGCCTTTGATTAGTCAATAAAACACAGATAAGCATCTTTCTGGTATTCTCAGCTTCCAATCAAGATCCATCTGACAAGAGAAATAATATTCCTCATTCTCTTCTGGATCTGACTTGAATTTTTGGTATTGTATATGATTAAAATTTTTAAGCCGTATTCAATGTTAAAAACACATAGTAAAAAAAAAAAAAAAAAACACATAGTGAGCATGTCGGCAGCACATATGCCAAAATTAGAGCATCCTGTGCAAGGAAGACATGCACATTTGCGAAGTGTTCCATAGTTAAAAAAACAAAAAAAAAAATCTCCTTGCCATCGAGTAGATTCGTACCCTATAGGGCAGGGTAGAAATGTGGGTTTCTGAGACTGTTGACTCTTTAGGGGAGTAGAAAGCCTTATTTTCCCGTGATCAGCTGGTGGGTTCAATCTGATGACCTTGTAAGTTCAACACCCAATGCATATCCAACTATACTACCCGAGCTCCTTATTCAGTATTGCAGGATTTATTAAAACCAAGAATTTTCTTTAATCACAAAGTACTTCTAGTCTCCCTTTTTGGAAGACTTTTGGAAAAGTTTAATGGAAAAAGGCATAAAACTGACTCCTCACGAATCAAACTGAAGTCAAGAGCCTGTCAAGCTTTCCTCATTTGGAGGCATAGCTTCTGCAACATGAATGTATAACAACAACATGCATGTATACTTTGGTAAAAGTCAAAGAAAAGTGAAGAATCTCCTAGCTTACTCTGGACTTGAAACAAGTCGTCTTCTCCCTTCCAGGTGTCTTTCTCTTCAACCCCATTTGAGCTGTTCCACTTGCCTTTGGTGGTTCTGAGGGGAGATCAACATGAAGAGGGTGTAAAGCCATTGTCCCAAGCCCTGGGCTCCCCCTTCACCCTGCCTCCAAGTTACCTCACCGAGGCTTACCAGCCCCCACCCCCTTTCCCTGCATCACCCAGACTACAGAACCAGTTGGTATTGAGCACACCACTGCCCCCTCAAATTTCAGTCTTTGTTTAGATTCCTGAGTAGGTCTCAGCAGCGCTCTGCTCCAGACACTGCGGCACTACTTGAGCCCCTTGCTTTCCAGCACTGCTCCATCTCCCTCTCCAGTTGGGGCCTTCCCTTCCCTTCCTTCAAGGATGACTTTCACCAGCATCACTCAACTGCCACTGGCGCCTTCCACTGCCAAAGCTACCTGACAGCAACTGCCTAAAATCACAGCACTCCCCTCTCCTGTGATGGCTTCCTGGTGTGGGGAAGAGAGCCTACAGGCCTGTTTGCAAGGATGCAGCCATCCAGTCTGATTCCAGTCCATTAGAGCCTTTCCGCTCACCTACCCACCTGCTTTTCTCCCTAGTCCTCCAATAAGCCCTGCCTTACCCCACTTAAATCCTGTCTCATAGTCCATTTAGTCGGAGATGATAGCAGATAATCACCTTTGTATGAAGCTCTGGACTTTCCCACCTCTCCCTGTCCTTGGCATCCCTGCCAAGTAAATCCTACCCACCTTGAAAGTCAACCACTCTCAGCAACAGCTTCCCTTACTATCCCTGTAGCAGAAGCCTATACTTTATTCAATAGCTACTTTACAGTATACCCTGAATTATGAATTCCCTGAAGGCAGGGGCCATGTATCTCCTAAACCTGCAGTCTAACAGATGACTTGGAGAAATATTAGCTAAATACTGGTATCATCATAGGCTTGCAAAGGCATGATCCCATCAAAGATTAGATTAATAAACAAGAATTCTTACAGTTATTATAAAATAAAGCTAAAAGGCCCCTAAAGAATGAAAAACTACCAGAAGCCCAAATTACTAAAGAGATTTAACTGTTAGCTCTTTTGTACTAAAATTCTAATGTGTTTAGCTAATTAGTGACTGAACAGGAAACATCACATACAATTGCTCCAGGGCAGAACATAGCTAAAGTAGGACTTCGGAATTACATCTTTTATATAACACAGAAAGCGACTAAGTATGTAAGGACTTGATATAGCGCACGATGACCTGTCAAAGTTGACCCCTATTTCTGACCCCTATTTCTGAGAAAGGCCCGGTTATCCTTAAGGAAACCTGAAAAGTTTGGAAACAAGTAACGAGTAAGGTGCTTACCCAGGACATAGGGTCAGCCTAAAAAAATTCCTAGTTTGCTACAAAATTAAGCAACAATGTCAACAAGTTGATTCCAACTCACAGCAGCCGGGACGGGTCGCAGGGGCAGTCCTCTGCCTGTGTCCTAGACTCAAGCTTTACAGAAGCAGACAGCCTCATCTTTCTCCCATGGAGCAACTGGTGGATTCCAATGCTGACTAGAGGTTAGCGCCTCAGTGGGGAACCCACTAAGCCATTAGGGCTCCTAACTAACTAAATAGCTGAGATATATGGTGGAATATTTTTAGAAAGAGAACCATAGTCCCAAATATGTTTCTGAGAAATGAATTTACCTGAGGGAGAGATCACATGAGGTTTTAACTCTGGGTGCTTCTCCTTTTAAATAAAGGTCCGAGTTACAGTTTACATGTTCTACCCCTTTCTCCAAGTGGTGGAAGAGGAAGTGGCTGGAAGCTCTCCAAGTACACGTTTCTGTGATCACTTTAGCACTGCTCCTTCCTGGAAACGCAGCACTTAGCCCTTACTTACTGGACACTCCATGGTGAAGTCTTTCATGACCGTCTTTTCTTTCCCAACTTGTGTTGTATAGGATCCAAGTTTTACTCTGTGAGGTCTGAGTGCTGGTCAATTTAAGATCAATGAGCAACAGCGCAGTAGGGGTTGGCTAACTACAGCCTAAGCCACCTGCTTTTGAAAGTTATTGAACGAACAAATGGTTACAAAAAAGAGTGTAAGACAAAGACTCTATTAATGTGGCAAATAAAGCCACATTAATCTAACCCTATGGCTCTTACGCATTTATTTTTTAAAATATTTTATATATTTGCTTACTTATTTCTACTTTAAAAAAATAACAAGTTTAGAAGTTATTCCTTAAAGTAGAAAAACCAAGACTTCTTATTTGGTTGTTATCTATTCAGATCTTGTTATGTGCAAGGTGATGTGTGAGACAGAAAAACCTACTTGCTGTGGCCCCTGTCCTTCCCTTCCTCCTTTGCCCACTTCACCTGTGGTTTTCTAGGTCCTCACTCCTCAGCTGGCTCCAGTCTCTAACTACCCTGCCCCCAGTACAAAGCAGACAAGAGGTCACTGCCTGCCAAATAACAGTGCCTAAACAACTACAACAGAGTGGCACAGATGCTAGCAGCTCTAGGAGTCCAGCAAGGTGGACCACTTAACAGGAGGGTGATCGGGGAAGTATACAAGATGATAAGAATTTTAAGAGGCAACTTGGTGTATGTGAAGTACAAGACATGGGTTTTCCCATCATGACCGATTTGGGTGAAAATCTCAAAGCTTGAGAAGTATTTCAGAGTTGGGGAAAATAATTACCTTTTCTGAGCCTTCTTCATCTCTAAAATGGGATTAAGGTATCAGCTCCCAGCTTAGGGATTATACACTGTTGAGATTTAATAATAAATCTAGGCAAGTGCTTGGCTCATAGAAAGCACTTTATCAGCATCAGTATCTTCCTTTTAAAGGACGAATGGGAATCTGACAAGCAGTGATGAAGAGATGATGGTCCAATATAAGATGAGGCATGAGAGTAGCAAAGGTCCAGTAGTAGAAACAAGCATGTTCCAGAGAGAGAAAGCAGACCAGTTTGTCTGCAGGAAGGATCCACAGTAGAGCACAGGCGAGAACAAAAGTCAGGTTGAGGGTCATATGATGGGGAACAAAATTAAAGTATTCTAACCATGGCCCCAGTGTACCTAGCAAGCAGAAGGTGAGAGTAGTAAAAGATGCAAAATTACACATCAGTCTCTTTTTTAAGAGTTATAGTGTAACTTGGCCCAATCCAAACAAGCTTCCTGCAGCAAACAAAACCAGTCTTTAGTATTCAGGACACACAGAAGCTTGGTAAAAAAAAAAAATGAGTGGGAGGCTCTGAAACAACCCTTCCGTTCTCACTCCCGCCCTACTACAATGCCCAGAAACTCGGGTGTAGGGCTTGAGAATCAGCAGAGATGGCTATGTCCCCAAAGCCCACTCCCGAGTCACATTCTAGCAGTCTGAGCATGAGTAAGGGCTGGGTGGTAAGTAACTTAGGTAATAGTTACTTCATTCACGGAAGCACTGTCAGGCCCAACCATGGTGAGCAACCAGCCCTAAAATGACTACAAAGAAGGTCTTCATACTTGAGATTCTTCTCCCGAGGGAGAGGCTGGTTGGGAGCGATGGGCTTGGATGGTGTTACTGCAACGACCTCCTGGTAACTGTTGAGGCCTGGGCTGGGCTCGGTAGTCTGGCTGTCCTCCTCCAGAACCAACCTGCTTATTGTCATGCGTTTGGCCTTGGGCTGCAGTTCAGAGCCACACTCCCCCTCCGCAGGAGCTGAGGCTTCACCGTCTTTTCTGGGTCTCTTGTTTTTGAGGGCTGGGGATGGTTGAGATGCTTGATTAGGAAGTACCAGATCCTTCTGGTCCAGTCTTGAGAAGGTTGCCTCAGAATCCTTTGCCCTGGACAGAGCCTTGAAAGCTGCTTTTAGAGTCATAAACCCAATGGTGGTTGGAGTATTCTGTAGCTGCCTAAACAAACAGACAGAAAACATACATACAGATATCAGTATCACAGCTGTTGACGTCCATCCATACGTCTGTACGTCCATCCATCCATCCATCGAGCCACAGCTTTCCACAAGTGTGATCCATCAAATCAGGCATATGACTTAAGGAATCTCCAGTTTAAATAAAAATGTAAGGAGATTAGATTACCATAGCCATTACTTTTAGCAAGTGTACCTAGAGGTTTTAATTATGATGAGAAGAGTTCAAAAAGTCCGTGAAAATGGAATTTTAAAAATATACATGTATAAATTTTATTTCAAAACATACCCATCCCTAGAGAATTAAGGGTTCTGGGAATTCAACTCTGTCAATGCAGACATTATTAACTGAAGAAAAAAATTATTTAAAGAGCCCTTTAAAGAATTTTAAGATCAGGAAACAAGCAATCTGAAGAAGCCCAATCAAGATCACAAAGTAGATACCTAATATTTCCCATTGAAACTGTAAAATTGTCTTTGCCTGAAGAGCAAAATGAGGAAAAGCATTTTGGTGGTAGTGAAGGACTCTGGTGAAAAATATCTAACTTTCTCAAAACACTCTCAAAGTAACAGATGTTATCCTCAGGTCTTCCAGTAAAACAAGTAAAATGGCTTGAGCAGTCCAGAAAAGTAACGTCATTCCCTTTGCTCCCTGCTTTTGCTTTGACAGGACTACTTCCACCTTCTCAGTAGCCAATTGACTACTGTCTTCAGGACCAGACTAATAAAACCATGTTTCATCTCCTGTTACAATTCTTCAAAGAAATAAGTCAGAATCTTGATTTTAAAGCTCTGCCACTGTGACTGAAGCTGATCTGGGTGCAGTAGTTTGGGCATCATAAAACAGAAACAAAAACTTTGTTCAACTTTAGTTTTTTAGTCAGAATTGTCCATGCTGAACCAATTCAGAAGTCTATGTTAATGGCTGTTCATTCTGTTAATTGTTGGTCCTCTTCATGAACAAGATTAAAAATTTCCTTAAAATTCCTTAAAATTAATATGTATGGTCTGCTACTTCCCTTCTTAAAATGAGTTATGCTTTTATAAATGGTTGCTTTTGTTTTTGCAGCATTGTCCCCTTAGTGTTTCATAAAGCATCACTGATTTCACCATCCTTCCACTCAAGTTGCCCATAAATTCAGTGTTTGTTCTTGCTTCAGTTTTAGCAGAAGTCATATTGCTCTGTTAAGAGCTCACTTCAAACTGATAACTTGTCCTTCTCTTAGTGCCTTAAATTAAATTCTGTTCAGATATGTTATTACAAGTTAGTATGAGTGTTATTTTGATGCAAAAAAACGCCCTGAAATCCACGCAGTCTTCCCATATACACATTTTCCAAGAGCTTTTAGCAGACCTTTTTTTTTCATTAATTAAAAAAAAATCATTTTATTGGGGGCTCCTACACTTCTTATCATAATCCATACATACATCTGAATTACAGAGTTTAAACTCCAAGCCAGAAAAAATGTAAAGGACTATACACAGTACTCTGCCCAAAGGCCTCCTAAATGTAAATGCTGATCTCAAGTTCTACCCCTTCAAAAGCAGTATTTGCTGTTATATAAGAACTCTTAACTGTGCTTAGCAACCATAAATTCATGGGGCAACCAGTTGATAATCCAGCTACCTCACTTTCAAGTCTGCACTCTACCTGCAACTGTCCCCTGTCAACCCTCATGTGACAGAAGTAAAAGATCGGTCTCCATTCAGCCCCTTGTTTCTTTTCTTTTTTTTTTTAATTTTTTAACATTTTATTAGGGGCTCATACAACTGTTATCCCAATCCATACACACATCAATTGTGTAAAGAGCATTTGTACATCATTCTGAAAACATTTTCTCTCCACTTAAACCCCCGACATTAGGTCCTCATTTTTCCCCTCCCTCCCCGCTCCCCCCTCCCCCCTCAGCCCTTGATAGTTTATGAATGGGTATTTTGTCATATCTTGCCCTGTCCGACGTCTCCCTTCATCCACTTTTCAGTTGTCTGTCCCCCATGGAGGAGGTCACACACAGTTCCATGTAATCGGTTCCCTCTTTCCTACCCATTCTCCTTTTACCCTCCCTGTTTTGCCAGTTTCTACTGGGCATTTAGGAACAGGGCCTCATACAGTCTTGAAAAATGAGAAACTGCCTTTAAAAAATAAAGTCAAACATTTGAAACAGTTATATATAAAAGAAAAAACTAAAAAAAAATAATGTCATTGAGTCAAATAGTAGCCACTCCCTAGGACAGAATAAAACCACTCCTGTGGGTTTCTGAGGCTGTCGTCTTGATGGGAGCAGAAAACCTTGTCTTTCTCCCAAGCGACAGTAGGTAGGTCAAAATTGTTGACCTTTCTGTTCTGAAAAAGTGTGTGATGATTGAACGATTATAAGTTGTATGACAGGTGAATTCTATGCCAATAAAACTGCTTGTAAAAACGGCCAACCTTTGGATTAGCAGCCCAGTGCGTAACCACTACACCACTGGGCAGTCAGCTTTAAAAGGAGCCCTGGTGGTGCAGTGGTGTGGTGAGTGGGTGCACGCATTGAAAGGTTTGGGCCTGTCAGCTGATCAGAGGATGTTGCAGTCTGCATCAGTCAAGATTACAACCCTGGCTCAGTTCTAGGCTGGCCTACAGGCTTACTCGGGGTCATAAACCACCTGATGGTAATGGGCTAGTATTCTTTAAGTAAAAACTGTTATGAGGAGGGCAAACTGGCAGTCTGCAAACCAAACCCAGGTGGCAGTTGTCTTCTGTTGGCCTACCCCAGAGTTTCCTAAAGTGGGCAATATTGCCCCGAGGATGCTGTACAGAAGCACATACCTGCCCTTTCTCCTGGATTATGGGTACATACGTTTTTAATTGCAGGAGGGTGTTGAGTAACTTTTTCTTTTCTCAAAGAGGGCAGTAGGCCAAAACAGTTTGGGAACCTCTAGCCTAACCTGTGTGGATTTTTTTTTTTTTTTAATTAGACCAACAACATTCAAAAATTGAGACATCTCACACAAAAACCTAAATTGGAATGTGGGCATTCTTGGACATGGAAACCAACACATGAAGCTGGAAGAACAGGCCCTTTCTTTTCCCATCTCATCCTCCGTCTACTTCCCCTGTACTTTCCTGCTGGGTCCTCCAAAGGCATCCAAAATTTCTGATGCCTACTTTGGCAACTGGTCTTGAGAATCCAGTTCGTAGATCTGAATACTGCTTCCTAAATGTCAGGTCCACAAGAAACAACTGAGTAGATATGGGGACGGCAAAGAAAAAGGACCTTTGAGTGGAACAGCCAGGCAAGTGCTTCTCTCAGCCAGCCAGCCTGTCCTCAATCTCACTTTCCTGGAGTGTACTTCGTAAGTCCCGGAGTCTCAGAGTAACAAATACCTCAGTAATAATATGTCAGCAGGCCAAGTCACTGAGAACCCTGATTCTACTCCAAGGAGAGTGTTATGCTTCCCACTGGCTACACCAGCGTTTCACCCAAATGCCCTTTGGGGATCTCTCTCACCTTTCGGATTCTCTGAGCTGCTTTTCCACAGACTCTGGTGCTGGTTGTTTATCTTCCTTCACTGTGTTTGTGGCAGCAGACTCAGATCTCAAAGTCCTTTTGGCCATCTTGAAAAAGAATGTCATTACGAAGTGAAAGCTGTAGACTCTCAATCATTCTCTGCTTCTTTCAACATGAGTGCATGCAATAAGCAAACCAGATCACATAAAAATTACAATCCAGGCAAACTAGAGGAGACTGTCAAGGAAGAGCCCTTACAACTGTCTCATTGCTCCCCTCTTTCCTTTCTCAAAATAGAGTAATACTAACCATCTTTCCAACATACAATAAGTATGTGATTTGACTCCACATTTCCACTTTTTCTTCCAACCTACCAATCCTATCCCTGACCCAGGGAAGGCTATCTTCACTATGGTGGACAAACTCAAAAAATTTACTTTGGGTTAACTAGTGAATATTTATATCGTCTTCCAGTTTAAGTTCAGAATTGGCAATGACTATATTTCCACAAATGGGATTTGGTTAGTAACAACTGTTTGGAAAGTTTTACCCATACCATACAGACTACCTTTAGTAGACCAGACTCATGCTAACACTAACTGCTCACCTCTTGCCCTCTGACTTAAGATTTATCCATTTCTAGCCACACCAGTACATTCCACTTCATGTAAATAGATATATTCCACTTCAGGTATGCATGTCTGTAATGCCTGATGCCTTAAGACCAGATAGGTCACATACAGACAGGGCAGGTTATTTTTCAGTTACCTAGAATGCAAAGGAATGAATCCTAAGCCAGGCCCAAGTATTATGATCCTCATGCCCTAAATAAGCTTCTAGACAGTTTTTCTCCAAAGTCTTGACTTTTCCCAGCTAACAGACCTGCCATGCCAGGCTACTCTCTTTTCCCCAAAGCACACCTCACATTTCACCTCTTTTGGGAACCAGGTCAATTATCAGTGAAATCCTACTTTAATCCCAACAAGGTGAGTTATCACATGTACAGAAGGTGAAAAAGGAGGGAACCCAAGTGGGCTCCTTTAGCCTCTGCCAGGATCTCTGCTTCGGCCTAGTAAGGCATTTAGTTAAAGAAAGAGAGCAACTGTAATTCAATCTTTTTTCACACCTTCCCTCTTTTCAAAAGCTCCTGAAAAGAGCCGTCCTTTTCTACTCCCTACACATGCTCAGGGACACACAAGTAAGAAGGCTAGGCCCACCGTGAGGAGATAGGGCTCTGAGTGCTCCAGGTGGCTCTCCAGGAAGCGCAGCATCTTCTGCTGAAAGGTCTCATAGGAAAAGTTCTGGATCACTGGGTGGGCCACATTCTTTTCTCGGATAATGTTCAGGAGATCACTTCTTAGCTTCTACACAAAGATCAATATTTGCAACATGAAGAAGGAGAACTCAGTAAAATCTCAAGGGCATTTAGTCAAGAGAGAACACTGTCAGAACTTGTGCCACCTGCTGATAAAACCCACCGGCTCACAGGAAGGCCAGGAAGCCTAAGGCAAAGGACCACAGCACCAGTTCAAGACACAAGTAGACTTCCAATATTCATGGAAAAGCTCCATTAGCTTTCAATCCATGGACTTTTAAAAAAAAATTATTTTAGTGGGGGGGCCTTACAAATCTTATAACAGTCCATCATACAGTTGTGTCAAGCACACTTGTACATATGTTGCCATCACCATTTCCGAAACATTTTCTTTCTACTTGCACCCTTGCTATCAGCTTTTTCCTCTCCCTCCGACCCTTGTGAATCCTTGATCAATTATATATTATTATTATTATTGTCTTACACTGTCCGTTGTCTCCCTTGACTCACATTTCTGTTATTCAGTCCTCCTGCCCCTATATATCACAACCTTGTGATCCGTGACCCCCCTACCCACTCTCATGGTATCGCTACTCCCACTACTGTTCCTGAGGGGTTCATCTGTCCTGGATTCAATATGTTGAGGGCTCTTATCTGTACCAATGTGCATACTCCAGTCTAGCCAGATTTGTAAAGTTAGAAGTGAGTCATGACAGTGAGGGTCCATGAACTTTTTTTGAACCTCCTTGTATAATGGTTCAGACACAGTAGGTTGCTATGTAGTGATTAAAAAAAGAAAAAAGGTCCCTGTGCATTAAAAATGTGTGTATGGATTGTGATAAGAGTTGTATGAGCCCCTAATAAAATGATTAAAAAAAATATTGTGTAGAATATGCTGACATGTATATGAGAACACGAAAAATGTCTATGTGTATGTCTATACACACTCACACATTTATTTTCCAGCATACACAGACTATCTTTGAAAGGACAAAAGAAAAACAGAAACAAAACCACAGGTTGCTTCTGATGAGGGGAACAACACAACCAAAGGTCAGAAGAGAGTGTTTTCACTACACTTGTGTTGAGCTTTTAAATTTTGTCTTATATACATGTTTCACCTCTTCAACACTGAAATTTAGATTTAAAAAGGAAGAAAAATAAATGGGATGGCAGTGACAGCTTTTCATTCCAGGAAACTGAGATGTTAAGTCTGCATCACGGCAGATTCTCAAGTCTGAGGGATTCACATTTATGTCAAGCAAAGTTAGAAGAGCTTAAAACACCGATTGTTCCCTTTGCTTAGTATCTGGTGCTGAGGCTTCACTTAATGTTCTCTCACAAATCAGAAAGGAGGCAAATCAATGATTCGTGGAAATTCATCGAATGGAAAATAAGTTTGTGAAGGCAATCTAACAGCAAATCATCTTTGGATATAAAAGACACTATGTGAAAGGTATTGGCGATTTCAACAACATTCCTGACAAAAGAACACTTTTAAGCAAAAAAATAAACTTACCTGAGTTGTGGGGTCCTTGGTCATATGTTTCTTCAAAATTTTTGAAGCCTTTTCAAATTCTTTGTTTTTGATACAAATAATGACAGCCTAGGAAACAAAGGAGTTAAATGTTATAATGGCAGTTGTAATCAGAGTATCAAATTGCAAACTAAACTACTAAAAAGTATTTTCTGAATCTCATATTTGTTCACATTATGCCAACTTTAGACTTAAAAACTAGCATGCCTCAAGTATTGTGAACTGTCCCTGTGTATAAAGGTGAGCTGCATATAATTTGTTGGGTGGCAATTCAACATTACATTGGATTTTTATAAAACATGGCCCAAGCAGTAACATCTGATCCCCTGGATTTTGGACCATTTGTCTATTTTCAAATACCACATATACTTGAGTCTAAGCCGACCTGAATATCAGCCGAGGCACCTAATCTTTTTTTTTTTGGCCCCTAATCTTACCACAAAAACGGCATTAAAAGTGTGCTGAAAAACTTGGCTTATACATATACAGTAGGTAGTCCTATGCAAAAGTAGGATCAGTCATGTCTGCTTCCTTTAAGTTCACAACTGGTAGTTTTGTGTAAGTAAACGCTTTGATATCACTTGGGGGTGGGGCCCAAGATACTTGGTAGGGAGTGGGGCAGGGATATCCTTAATTTGCTGAGCACGGAACTCTATTCCCATTCAGAAATGTCCTGAGGCTAGATCTGCAAAATACTCAACACTGCCTCTCACTGCAGTGACCAAGTTGGCAACTGCCTTCCAGTGTGCAGGGGACTATGGAGCCCCACTTGGCTGGTTACCCAGCTCAGCTTTAGGCAGCATCAGAGGACAATGTTCCAGGTAGAATGAGGGTTCACAATCAGAGAAAAAGATTCCTTCTATAAAGAAACCCTAAAAGAATATACAGAGAAGCAGCAGCCATGAGACATTTTTTAAAAGGAAATGTTACATATACATTTGAAATAAAATGGAAAAACCAATGGAAAGTTGTAAGTATATAGAATTATTTAATAGAATAAAATGCTTTATAACCAATCTCAAGAGGTAGAAAGAGACAAATAACCGTTTTTTTAGACCACATACTATTAAAAAAAAAAAAATCAAGAAAACTTTCACAGGTAAGAAAAAAGCCCACACATACAAAAATGACATTCTTTACAGGGAAGTATATTCAGGAGATAGAGACAAAAAGGGAGAAATAGCATGGAGCCCAGTAAGTGCTCATTTTTGGTGGTTCCAAGCCTACAAGAGAAAAAAGAAACTGGGATTATGTGCTCTTGAAGAAGCAGTTACAGTGGCAAATTTCTGCTGTTCAGAGACAATATAAGAAAATGCTTTTCACTGTAATCACATGGCCATATTGTTTTTGGTCAAATCAACTGTACTTATTTTCTTTTTTATTGTTGTTTTTTTTTAAGTCGTTTTATTAGGGGCTCATACAACTCTTATCACTGTACTTATTTTCTTGATGAAGTTTCACTTTTCAGAAATTATGTAGCTTGTTGTAATACTTGAAAATGTCATTAACTTGTCAAATCAGTTCGTACTCACTGTAGCCTTACAAGACTTCAGAAAGTTCATAGCAAGATGGAATTAAAAAGAATGAAGTTCTGGCACAGGCTTTTATACCCCCCTATAATAGAACGAATTGTTGCCCAGGCCTGCGCCCCCTTTATGATCATCAGTATGTTTGAGTCTGCTGTTGTAGCCATTGTGTAGATCACCTCATCGGGGATGGGGGTTTCCTCATTTCCCAGGCCTCTACGTTACCAGACACATAACCCTTTCTTAGGCACTTCCATGGATGACATGAAAAAATGAATGTCTTAGTTATCTCGTGCTGCTGTGAACACATCACTGACCTCAGTTGGCAGCGTCTACAAGCATGAGACCCTTCTCCAGGGACTGGTGCCTCTCTACTGTATGTCCAAAGTATGTGAAATAAAGTCTCACCTTCCTCATTTGTAAGGAGCATCCCAGGCTGTTACTTCCAGTACAAAAATGTTTGTTCTTCTGGCTGCCCATGGTATACTCAGTACCCTTCACTAACACTATCACTAACACTTCACTAACAATAGCTCCTCCTAGTGTTGTGTAGCAACTGATGTTTTACTTTAACAATGACAACCCATGGCAAAAATGTTAAATTATGATGAAGTCCAGTTTATCAATCTTTTTTTTAAATACACCGTTGCCTTTGTATGTAATAAAAATTTGCAAAATTCCAGGACATGACATTTTTCCCCGTGTTTTCTTCTAAAAGTTTTGTTGTTTTTTTTAACAGAGTGAGTTGATTGAAAGGGGATGCTTTGGAGAAGAAGCCTTTAGGGTCCTTAGCTAGTCTAAAAGGCCTGGGAAAACATGCTAGACCTTATAATGGCTACTGGTAGGCTCCCCACTGAAAGCTGCCTTTCTGGTGCGTCATCTCTGCTGTCCCTCCTCCGCTCAGGTTAAGCTCATGACAGCACTCCCAACTTCATGCTGTGTCCTCTTCTCAGAGCCCAAGGTAGTCAGTCATTGTGGGGTGAGTGTGAACATCCTATCTGTCCCCCACCAGCCTTGTCCTCCTCTGGTCCCATCTGTGGTAAGGAGATGGTCCTATTTGCTGCCTTCTTCCTTTGTGGAGGCTTGGGAGGGTATGTGAGGGAGTTTCTCTCCACTTACCACCTCTTCTGTGCTTGCCATTTTCTGTCTTCTAAAAAGTTTATAATCTGACATTGAAAAGAACATTCACTGCCACTTAGTCAATTCCCATTCATAATGATCGTACACTTAAAACGTAAACAATTCATTTGAGTTGCTTTTTATATGTCAATTAATTTTTTGCTTGTAAATGCCTCATTGTACCAACACCACTTGTTAAAGACAATGCTTGTTCCATTGAATAATTTTTCATTGAATTCTTTGCATCTTCATAAAAAAATTAATCCATCATATTTTCATGGATCTCTGTAGACTTTTTTCTGTTCTACCAATATAATATAGTTGTTCACTCAGCAGTGCCCAGTCACAGCCTTGTAGCTTTATAGAATTTTTAAAATTTAATACTTCGGGGGGGAAAATTAATGCCTCAAGTTTTCCAAGTTTAGTCTGTTTCAAAAATTATGTTTCCCTTTGTCTTTTCACATAAATTTAAAAATCAATCTGTACTTGTACTAACTCCTATTGAGATTATGACTGGAATTGCATTAACTTGCTCTATCAATTAGTGAAAGATGTTTTACCTTAACTCTATCAAGTTTCCCAATTCATGAACATAGTATATCTTTCTGGTTATTAGGTGTTCCTTTCAATAGCTTTTTTATTTTCCCACATATAGACCTTGCATATTTTGTTAGTAATATATATATATAACTATAACTATTTTTTCCTTCTCTTTCCAATGTTTTCACTTCATTTCATATTGTTCATGGCTAGTACATGGAAATGTAATTGATTTTGTCATTCATATATCTTACAATCTTGTTTTAGAGCAACTTAAATTTATTATTTTTGTTTTAATATTCTATGGCAGCATTTCTCAATCTATGGGTCACAACCCCTTTGGGGGTCAAACAACCCTTTCACAGGGGTCACCCAATTCATAAAAGTAGCAAAATGACAGTTATGAAGTAGCAACGGAAATAATTTTATGGTTGGGGGTCACCAAACATGAACTATATTAAAGGGTCACGGCATGAGGAAGGTTAAGAGCCACTGTTCTGTGGGATAAGCTAAATAGACAATCATGTCATCTGCAAATAAAGATAATTTTATTCCTTCCGTTGCAATCTGTATGCTTTTTCTTTTTTTATTGCACTGTCTGTGCCTTCCAGTATAAACTAAATGCAGTGAGACAGACATCCTTACCTTATTTATGATCTTCAAGACAAAGCATTTTCTCTATTAGGTATGATATATATGTAGGATTTTTATATATAAGTTTTATCAAGTGAGGAAGCTCCTTTCTATTCCTAGTTTGATGAGTGTAATCTATCACAAACCCATGATAAATTTTTGTAGACTTGTACTTTTCTGCGTCAATTGATTTAATCATCTGTCATATGTCTTCTTTAATAACGACTGATTTGCACATATTGAACCTGCATTGCATTCCTGGGCTTCAGTGTCTCCAACTCTGCCACACTTCCACAATGGAATCTGTATCCACAGCATAGTGGCACGAGGTAGAGTGCAAAAAGCAACAAGGATTTGCCCCCAAGTTCTGGACAATCAGAGCTCCTCTATAAGAAAGGGTTTCCCTCCTCCCTGGCTGCCACGGGCATCATTGGGCCACCCCTACTGCCAGGGAATCATGCAGCAGATGAGGGAGAGTGGAGAAAGACTAGGGATTTCTTTCACCCTCTCTGTCCTGTGTGTGTTGGTTTGGAAAAGGTGGCTGTGTGCACCTGGTGAACACTTCCAAGTTCCAGACTGCCTTCGGAACCAAACATAAGAAGAGATGAATCACTGCTTTTTCACTTGGCAGTTCCAAATGAGTAGTTTTTTGTTTTAAATAGGGTTCTTAGCAGGTAAGCACTAGTAAGAGTTTCTGTTACTAGTTTATACAAAAAGAAAATTCCAAGCACAGAAATTTCAATATTGTTGAGATTATTGGGAAAATGCTGGAAAAGAAATATTAACAAAAGAAGAGAAAGCTAAAACTCAGAAGAAAAGTTTAAGCAGCAGACAAAAAAGACAAAAACAACAACAAAAACCTCAAGCAGAAGAGATATAGGCTGTTCTGTAAAGTAACAATGTTCTAAACACCTGGACAAAGCTCTGTTTCAAAAACTAATGTCCTAAAGGAATGTCTAGGGTGCCAGCCCCCCAGATATGAAGAGTCCCTTCATTTATAGATCCAAGGTCATACAATAGGCCATCGTTCCTAAAGAAAATCAAAGTGCTTTTACCAAAGATACATGGAACATGGTTGCAGATAAAAAGCACAAAATAAATGCTTCCCCAAGAATATGTTGGATATATTCTCCTTCCCTATTCTCCAAAGGGAGCTGACAATTCTTAGTTGTGAAGAGAAAACCCATGTATGTAAGTACCAGCTTGCAGAAGCAACTCACAAACTTTTTGTCTCAAGACCCCCAAAAAGGCGATTTTTATGTAGATTATATATGTTAATACTAACTGTATTAGAAATGCAAAACTGAGAAAAATTTTAAATATTTATTAGTTCATGAATAAAAATAGCAATAAAATTCATCATGTTAACAGAAATAACATTTTTATGAAAGATAACTTTTCTAAGACAGAAGTTTAATGAGAAGGATGGCATTGTTTTACATTTTTACAAATCTTTAATAGCTGGTTTAATTGCAGATAACTGGATTCTCATATCTGCTTCTGTATTCACTCTGCAACAATATATTGTTTGGAATTAAATATATTAAAAAGTCTGGCCTTACACAAATAACTTCAAGAAATTGTGGATTTTCTTCCTTGATTCTACACAATCTTTCTTTGCCAAGTGAACTTCTCATACTCTGATACATTAAATTCTGTTATATCCCTGTATCTGGTACTTACCCATGAATGCTTTTCTAACAGTTTGCAGTGATCATTCAGAAAGGTTAAGCAATTCTACGTGTTGACACAACCATTAAGAAGAGTTTTAAAGCCACATTTGTCAATATCACCACTGATATTATCAGAGAAGTCTTTCGGTATTGGGAAGCTATCAAGCTCATGAATATAAGTTTTCTAAAATTCTAATTTTCACAAAATATTTTGAATTTGACAACAGGCAACAAACAGTGATTCTTTTCGCTGAAGGGATAGGCCCTCTTTGTTAATTTTCAAGGAAAAAAATTATCAAAATGCCAAGTCTGAATAATCATTGTTCATCAGTTGCTCTTGAAAGAAAAAATGGTCTTCCCAACAAAACCAAAAATACTGCCTAGCTGAAACTCAAACCTCCACACAAGTCAACCAGGACTGGGCATAAGTGCTTCAGGTATACTCCCTATTTCACCATACAAAATACTTTCTAGACGTTTACTCAAGGATCTAGATTTAATTAAAATAATCATTTTTACTACCTCATCGAAAACATTCTTATTTGAAAAGGGCTTTTAAAAAAAAGTGCAAATGTGTGATTATGAAAACTACAGTGATTACTAATAGAGTTAGCCATTACTTTCACTGTGCTGAACGCCAAACCTACTGCCAAGGAGTCAAGTCTGACTCAGTAATTTTAGATACTGCATAGGATTTCCAAGATTGTAAATCTTTACAGGAACCAACCACCTCATCTTTCTCCCACAGGGAGGCTGATGGGTTAGAACTTCAGATCTTGGATTCCGTTAGCAGCCCAATGCCTAGACCACAGGGGCACAAGTGTGCTTTTTCTGCTGTGCTCAAGCACCAACAATGTTAGCCATGGTTGTTTTTACATAAGCAATACAAATGTGAATATAGTACAAAGGTTAATGTTTTGTGATACACAGCTTGACCTCAAAGACCTCCTGACCCCTGAAAGGGTCCAGAACCCACATGATTGAGACTTCTGACTTAAGTAACCTATATGATATAAACTTTAAATATATTTTTACAAGCCACACAGAACCTAATTGTCCCAAACATGACCATTTCTAACTGTGAAATGTTAAAGAATGAATGGAAGAGCCAATAAAGTATCATTTAATAACCAGAAGATAAGATCATTGTAGTAGCCAATCTCTAAGATGGCCTCCAAAGATCTTCACCTCCTGGCCACATCTATGCTTTCTTAGCTGAAAATCAGTTCTGTGTGAAGCCACCTGATTCATGTCACAGTGAGAGTACCAAAATCCTACCCTAGTTTTTAATTTTTCTTGGTTTCAAGAACACTGCCTATGCCAGCTTCCTGTCTTTGCTGCTCTTGTACAGGGCTGTTATTCTGAGAACTTCTCACTGTAATTTCTGAGCTCAAAGGGATTTCCCTCTAGGCCTCCTGAAAACAATCAGAGATAAACATAACACAGTCAATCCTACACCCCCACCTACACATCTGGTTTATTATAAACCAGATAATCAAACCTTCAGCCCACCCCATGCTAGAATGGTGCCAGTACCTCCAAAATGCCCATCTTCAATGCCCCACCCCCCACTCTGTCCTCACTCAAATTCTCCTATTGTGTTGTCCATCTTGCTCAATCTACATGAAAATACCAAAATCTCAATGGCTAAGCATGCATACTGACCTGGCTTAAGAAACATCTGTTTGGGAACAGTATGACCCCAGCTTTCCCCCTACCCCACAGAAAAGATTAAGCACTGATATACTCAAAGATATGCAGTTTGCCAAAAGAAAAACAAAGCCAGATCCTTACAGCTTCCTTTACCAGTTTTCGACTGGACTCGATCACCGTCTCTGTCAGTGTAAATTCAGTTTTAATCATTTCCAGTACATTGATAGCTGATTCCAGTGGCGTGAGTTCAGCTTCCATATCAAAGGAACAGTCTAGGGCAAAGAGCAGTTTCCACTTTAAGCAATTTTTTTAGACATAAAAATTTAGGTTTCATCTATACATTTGTCTATATGCAGATTTATGCAAATATGATATATTATTTAATGTGCTGACCTACAGCAAGAGGCTTACAATCTTGGATTTCAACTGTTGGGAGAATAGGGGAGAAGGTAAAAATTCGAAGAATAATATCAGTGAATGTAAAGTGACCATCTTTTAATAATTTCCAACACTGGTAGAAAAGAAAATCCTCTTTTATCTGTTGGGTCCACCTTTACATTATCGTATGTCATTTGCTTATCCAATTCCAAGATAAACACATCCTCCAACAGTTTGTAGACAGCTGTCAAGTTGAATTCAAGTATATGTGCCCAGACCCTGGAAAATAGTATACCGGGGTGGAAAAAATAATCCACCTTAACATGGCTCATCTTAGATAACAGAACAGCTGGGGCAAGCAAGAAACAGGTGGGAGGAAATAAAACAAAAATGCAGCCAAGAGACACTCAGCCTGAGAACAAACCCGTTGCAGAATGCAAACGGCCACTACGAAGGAAATCTCCGTAGCCCATCTTAACCTGGAATCCTTTTATTCTGGATACAAGTTGGAAAACAACCACATAGCCCTAGCTAAGCAAGCCCCATCCGAAAAACACAAAAACCACCTTACCTAAATTTTCTCCTTCCTCAATGCGCGACAGACACTGCATCACCCGCAGCAGCCGGGACACCGTGTGCTCCTTCCCCAGGGGCCTCACAAGCAGAGCTGGGAGAGAAGACACGGTTGGCCGGCGGCCGGCCCCAGCGCGCCCGCGCCCCGCCGCTCCCCTGCCCCGGTGCCCAGCGCCCCCGTCCCCCCGGAGCGGCCCTCACCCTGCATGATGTCCCGGATCTGCCTGAAGTCCGCGTAGCGGCTACCGCGAAAGGCCCGCAGCGCCTCGTAGAAGTAGAACTTGAGCACCCAGCGGTTGACCGCGGCCTCCAGCCTCGCCTCCCCCGCGCCCCGCTCCGTAGCGGCCCCCAGCCCCAGCTCGTGGCGCCCCCGGCGGGCCCGCCCGCCGCTGCGGGGCGCCCGGCGCCCGGACGAGCGCCCGTTGCTGTCGCTGCTCCCGCCTTCTCCCGCCATCGTGTCGGACCGCCGCGCGCCTTCGCCGCCGGGCTGCTTCCTCGGCTGTGACGCCGACGGGTCACGCACGACGCCCGTTCCGGAAGCGGGGCCCTTCGTCCCGGCTCCGGCGGCCATGATGGGAAGACGTTGTTCTGGCCCGCTTAAGGGCTTTGGGGAGGGAAAGGAATGTCGCGCCCGCGGCCCCTTCTCGGCCTCCGTAGTTGCCGCCGCGTCGGCCGCAAGGCCTGCTGGGAGACATGGAGTCTCCCGCCAGTCTCGGCGCACGGATCGGGGTTTGCCGTGCGGCCACATCTTTCGCCCTGCACCGAGCGTCAGGTACCATAGTTTACTAAGCCGAGCGAAGAAGGCGAGGCAGTAGAGATTTACAACCTCGGAAACGTGGGGGGTGGGCGAGGCGATAGACTATGCTGATGGCGCACTGGTTAAGCGCTTCACAGCCGGGCCAAAGGTGGTTGTAACCTCGCACCAAGCCGTCCAGTGGGAGAAAGGTGTGACAGCCTCTCTAACGACCTGCCCTACAAGATCTCCTGGAGGCTGCCCGGACTCGAGGGCACCGGTTTAACCATAAATTTGTGCAGCTTTTTAAACACTTTTAAAACTGTGAAATGAGGGAAGCATTAAAGAACTAGAGGAAAAAAACAAACCTGTGAAATGAAGCATAAGTGAAGAAAAGTTTGTTGATTTACATGGTAACAAGTAATCACAAAGCAGACGAGATCGAGAAACAATACGGCCAGCCCCCCCATCTCTAAATGTGAGAAAAATATCATTTGTCAATGATTTTCATCATTTTCAAAACATCTTCTTTCTACTTGAGCCCTTGATACCAGCTCATTTGTCCCTCCCTCATGCACCCGTGATACATTTATGTATATATATGTTTTCATGTCTTATACGGACTGCTGTCTCCCTTCACCCAGTATTTTGTTGTTCGCCCCCCTCCCCCCCCCCCCCCCGGAGGTAGTTATATATTGATCATTGCGATCGTGATCATTTCCCCCTTGGTCCTGAGGGGTTTATCTGTCCTGGATTCCTGTGGGGGGGAGGTCAGATGCTTGCAGGCATTCCCCCGCCCTTGAGGGCGATCATTTGCCAGACTGCAGTGGGCCCCGCTCCCTGCTGTTAAAGACAATGGACAGTTGCAGTCATCTATTTGGTTCCTGTAGGTGGGATTTACACCCTACTGATAATGGTTCCTATGGAGATGCAGAGAACCAGTCAAAGTTAAGCTGGGATCCACACATCTTGTCACATGTATACATCCTATCCCTCCTCTTCCTATTGAGTGTATGTCCCTAGACCACCCCCTCTCATTGCTGTATAACCTATAGTGCAACCCCTTCCTGTGAGGTATATCTTTACCTGTAGTTAGTGGGCTTGCATACCCCCAAAAGGTATATAGGCTTGGGTTAGCAACAGAGATCTCTCTCTACTCTCTCTCCCCCTCACTCTCCTCTCTTCCCCTCCACGTGGACCACCAAGCAGGGTTGAGGTGAGCAAGGCTACCATGTAATGTGCCTTACTGCATTATTGTAATATCTCTTCTATCGATGATGCTCTCGATGACTTTAAGATAATACTTAATACATCTCAACCGTACAATTGTGCATCCTGAACCCATGACTAGCAGTGGGGGGCTGGCCCCCCCCAACCTTATACTACAGATTCCCTGTGTTTCCAGTTCCTTATCTGTACCAGCATACATGCGCTGGTCTAGCAGGATTTGTAAGGTAGAATTGGAATCATGATAGTGGGGGGCAAGAAGCACCAAAGAACTAGAGGAAAGTTGTATTTTCATCCGTGCTATACTGCACCCTGACTGGCACATCTCTCCCTTGTGACCCTTCTGTAAGAGGATAGCCAGTTGTTTACAGATGGGCTTTGGGGCTCCACTCCATACTCCCACTTATTCACATCAATATGATTTTTTGTTCTGGGTCTTCGATACCTGATCCCATTGACACTTCATGATCACACCGGCTGGTATGCTTCTTCCATGTGGGCTTTGTTGCTTCTCAGCTAGATGGCCGCTTGTTTAATCTTCAAGCCTTTAAGACCCCAGACGCTCTATCTTGTGATAGCCTGGCACCATCAGCCCCCACTGCTACAACTACCTATGGGTTCAGTAAGCACAGTTGTACGATTGAGCTATATAAGTATTATATTCAAGTCATCGAGAGCATGAGAGATAAAAGAGATATTACAATGATGCATTCAGACACATTGCATGGTAGCATTGCTCACCTCCGCCCCGCTTGATGGTCCCTGTCGGGGGAACCCGGCTACGAGAGCAGGAGCAGCCTTGGGGACCGAGAACCGGGGAGCTTCTCCTGGCCCGAGAGCCAGAGAGGGCCCAGGGAATCGGGGAGAACCTCCTGGGCTCCAAAGAGAGATTCTTTATTGCTAACCAACCATTATGTCACACGTCACAGGAAGGGGCGATACAATAGGCATACACATTGTAGGAAGGGGATCTATAATAGGCATAAGCATAACAAGAAGGGATGAGCTAGGGGTTTGCCTATAGGAATGGGAAGGTCTAGGGGTATACATGTGACAAGATGGGCAGACCCTAGATTCATGATGGCAGTCTAATCTTGTTCATCCATGGGCAGGTTTGACCTCTCTGGTGTCTCCTACAAGGAAACAGACAACTACTATCCTTATCAGAAAAGAGTGGGCCCTACTTGTTGTGGGATAAACAGTGGTGTCTGCTTGGTCTAGACAGCTGATAACTCTCAGGGAGGATGACCCCCAATCCACTCCTGATGACCAAGTGTACAGTCATTCTCAAGCAGCTAAGTCTGGCATGTATTTGGGGGACATAGCTTGAGAGAAATCCTTCTGTTTCCCGCACTTCACATTTGCTTATGCACCCATTTTGTCTTCAGCCAACTTGTCAGGGAAAGTGCGCATCACAGTGCTGGGTTATTGGAACAAAGTGTTCCTGCGATGAGGAAGTATTTGAGTAGAGGCCCAATGCCCGTCTGCTATCTTTATACTTAACATATAATTTTATGCATATAGAAATATTTCCCTATTGTTATATATAAATATATTCACATATATACATGACTGTATTTAGACCTCTATAAGTGCCCTTGCCTCCTAGTCTTTTCCTCTGTTTCCTTTACTTTCCTTTTGTCCCACTATCATGTTCGGCCTTCATTTGGGTTTCAGTAATTCCTCTTTGCTACATTGCCCTTCATCAAGCCCACCAGTCAGTCATCCTATGCTCTCCTTGCCATTGTTTTAGATCACTTGTTGTTCCCTTGCCCCTCGGTTTATTGACACCCTTTCCTTTCCCTTGCCTCCCCCTCTCCCATGTCCCCTGGGAAACATTCTTCCTGTTGTTTTCCCCCTGAATTGTTTATCCTACCTATCTTATCTAGATAGACATACGAAACAATAAGCATGGAAACAAAGCAAAGCGAAACAGCAACTCCAGCGAGGATGATCCCTTCAGGACCAGTGGTGTGAGTGGCAATACTGGGAGGGTAGAAGGAGAGTGGGTAGGAAAGAGGGAACCGATTACAAGGATCTACATGTGACCTCCTCCCTGGGGAACGGACAACAGAAAAATGGGTGAAGGGAAATGTTGGGCAAGATATGACAAAATAGTAATTTATAAATTATCAAGGGCTCATGAGGAAGGGGGGAGCGGGAGGGAGGGGGAAAATGAGGACCTAATGCCGGGGGCTTAAGTGGAGAGGAAATGTTTTGAGAATGATGAGGGCAATGATTGTACAAATGTGCTTTACACAATTGATGTATGTATGGATAGTGATAAGAGTTGTATGAGCCCCTAATAAAATGATTGAAGAAAAAGAAAAACAACAACAACAAAGAAAAGCTTATAAATAGTTTCAGATCTATTTGTTGAACTTTATGAGTGTTTTCTGGTCAAGTCTGATGGGGTGCCATGCCCTGGCCCCAAAGTCCATTGTTGGTATTCCTCGGGAACTTCATTGCTTTATCCCCTTGTTGCTCTGTTGCAAGCCCTTAGTGTTTCGCCCTGGTGTGGTAGAGTCAGATTGGGCACAATTCCAGCCCTGTGTCTCCACTGTTGACCCCCGTAATGCGATGGGTCAGTGAGGGACTGGGTCAGTAAGGGGCATCATGTCTCATGGTGTGGCCAGCCCTATGGTCCTCTCTGCATTGACTGCTCCCAGCAGGAATATCGTCCTAGGGGCTTGAAGTGCCAGGTCGTATTCCACTCTCTCTCCTTCTATCTTCTTTTGTTCCTGTGTGCTTTGATCAGACACACCTCTCTCCCTGAGCTGTAACTTCAGTGCTGTCCTCTGTAGTGCATTCTTCTGGGGGGATAAGGGTTGGCCCCCCCAAACCTCTCAATTGGTTTGCTGTTTCATGCTGGTATGTTTCATCCACGTCTGGGCACATTGGGTTGAAGAGACAAATATTTTTTTTGGAGACAAATAATTTTAATAACAAAAATACCACCTTTTGATGTAGAATAATTAGAAAACAACTTTGGGAAAGCTTAGCATTTAAATTACCCATAAACCTAGAAGAAAAATTTTACATGTGGTGTAGCTTTCTATCATCTTTTACATATTTAGTAAGTGTACATATATGTTTCCACACATACAGAGGAAAAAATATTAAAAAACTTGTTTATATCTTTTTGTAACTTTTAATGGCTGGTGGTGAGATACCAAATCATTACAGTTGTTTCATTTCATTGGCTATATTGTTTACCATTTAATTTTTATTTTAAAATGTTAATTATCTTGTTAGATGCTATCCAGTCAATTCTGATTCATACCAGAAAGCACATCTTTTGTGTCAACTTAAAATATTAATTACCTCAGAGAGTTCCCTTGTGCCCCAATCAAGTCAGTTCCTACTCTGACACACTAGTAGGAAGTATGAAATGAAAATGAAAATATTGTTTTCATTTCCATCACCTTAGGGCTATTCTTGAACTTCATATAAGCAGAATTATACCACTGAAGGTACTCTATGTGTGGGTTCTTCCACACAAGGAAGTGTTTGATAATTGTCTGTTGTTCCCTTAACAGCTTGTTCCTTTCTACATTTTCTTTTTCTTTTTTTAAATGCATTCATTGGGGGCTCTTACGTCTCTTATCACAATATATAGATTCCTC